AACCCTACAAAAAAGTAGGTTTTGGGTTCGTAAGGCATTGTCTGGGCTTTGGGAGCTCAGGTAACTGAAGCTAAGTGCGAGGAAAGGTCCGGAAAATCAGCCCAAAGCCTATAAACCCTAAATCCTAAACAGTGCGTGGGGGGGAATCTGGAGACCCCCCCCCACTCTAATCCATGAGGGTTTGTGGTCCACATCTCTAACCCTAAACGATAAACCCTAATCAAAATGATGTCAATTCGGGGGCATGACGATTCCAACTGCTTTTGGCCCTGAGGAAGCTCAATTGGGACGTTCCCTCCACAGTGTTGAAACCCTGAACTCTAAACTCTAAGCCCTAAACGGCCATTAAGTGCTTAATTAGTGTTTCTTCTAGGTTTCGGGTTTAGGGTTTAGGGTCAGTCTCCAAGCACATCACGTATAGGATGGAGCACTTAAGTCCCCTTGTTGGAGGTGAAAATGCGGCGTCTCAGCAGACCAGCAAACGCGTCTTCAAACCCCAAGCCCCAAAACCCCCAACCCCTCAACCACAATACACGAAACCCTGGACGCCCAAAGCCCAAACCTTTTTCGCACTATACCCCAGACCCCTACCCTCCATACCAGACCATCTGAACTCCAAAGCCCAACATCCTAAGACACTGAGAACCCCCCTGGCCCCACTGCTGGCATGCGTCGTCCGCGTCGGCAAAGGTGACGCGCGGGGAGGTGGAAAGGGACGAGGTCGTCTCCAACAAACAGGCCAAGGGTACCTGCGGCACGACAAGGTTCGAAGACGCGCTCTGAAGGGTATAGGGTCGAAGATTAGGGGTAACCTCCTTACACGGTCAATTCTCAAAATAGTGGCTCTGCTTTGGTGCCCTAACTATAATTCATAACATGCCTTGCTACCCACCCACCCCCCCCGGCGCCCCCCCCAGTGCTGGCAAGAACTTCCCCGAATCAAAGCTGACCAAGTGTCGTTAAGCGTAAGGGGGAAACTTGTGGAGGGGAGCAAAAGGGTTTAGGGTTTTGTAGGATTGCCCGGAAGGGGGGCGGAGGGTAGTAGGCTAGTAGAGCAACCAAGCCACCCTAGGATAGATTCCATCCACTTGGGGGAACCCTCTGCGTCCGTAAACCATCAGCCCTGAACATGTACATCGAAACTCTTCGACCCACCAACCCCTAAACCACCGTTATGAATTCTCACCAAGAGCACCGATAAAAAAGCCACAGTCTAGAGTCTATAGATGAACATCTGTACTGGCGTAATCCCTGCAACCTTCGATCGTAGACACTTTAACCCCAGTTGTAGTCCCAAAGGTAATCTTCGCATCCCAAGCCGCCAAAACCCTACCCAAAGGGTCCAAGTACCCATATAGCATATATTTGGGCCCGAAACAGGGTTCCTAGAAAGTAGCTTTAGGGCCCAGATGGATGTTAGAAAGGTACATGGGCCCTTTGGGGCTACTACAGACCAAGCCGCCATGTCCTCATCAGAAACATTGAGCGCAGGGTTCTTTCGAGGCGACGCGCGGTCGTGAAGTTTCCGCGGGGCGGCCTGCTGTTTCAAGCTGGAGGTTCTCGGAATTTCTCTACTATGACCCCTGCACTGTGAGGAATTACTTATACACTAAGCCCCAAACAGTTGGAAACCTGTTTGAGGACAAATAGTGCTGGGATTCCCTATACTCTACTCTTGTTTCCAACTTTTTGGCGTCTAGTGTACAGGGCTTTTGTGGCTGAGGATTTGATTCGGTTGGATGAGGACTAATCGGCTGGAGCATGCGGATTGGGCGGGTGCGGGGGCGGCGGGGGGGGGTGACTAGTATTTTGGGGGGAAGGGGGGGGGGGGGGGGGTGCACCCCCAAGTTATGGTTTAGGGTTCTAACGGTCCATGTACCTACATAGTATATACTTGGGCCTTTGAGGGGCTCCCATGTCGTAGCTTTCCCAAACATATGCCAGATGGGTACATGGACCCTTAGGGCATGTTATCATAGGGTTTAGGGTTCCCGTCCAACGCGCCCCCATAAACTGCACGAAGCTGCTGGAAACTTGCGCGGCGCCGTGGGAATCTGCGGGGTCAGCGCAACGCGCGGGACCTTGGGCGGCTTGGCGCCGCAGATCCGACTCGTCCAGCCCAAAAAGAAACCCCAAAACCCAAAAAAGACCCAACAAAGGTCCCTAAACCCTATAAACCCTGAGCCCTAAAACCCGAAAACCCTAAACAATATATACAATCAACCCTAAACCTTGTAAACCCTAAAGACCTCAACCCTAAACCAGGGCTTTCGTAGCCTTAAGGCTCATAGAGCCCGCGTCACGTGTTTCAACGACCTTTCGAAGCAGAGGCTCCACAGCAAAACGCTCAATTCCGCCCCCAGACCCCTGAGTATCCGGTTTAGGATTTAGGGTTTGAGGTTAGGGATTCTTCATCTGGTTTAGGATTTAGGGTTTGAGGTTAGGGATTCTTCTTCTTCTCCTGAAATTATGTAACCCCCACACAAACGCAGCGAAAGAGGTTCACGACTCCCGCAAGGCTGCCTAACCCATCACAGGGCCATGAACGAATCTGGGTGCCTTGTGCATCTCACACAAACTTGGGCGGATCTGAAGTGTAGAGGTTCGGGGGTTTGGGGTTTAGGGTTCAGGGATGTTACGGGTTTAGGGTGAAAGCGACACCCCAGTCTTGCTGAACGACTCCCCCGCCACACCTAGTAGGGGTTGATATTGCAACTTGACTACTATTTGCTGAGGAGCCGTCCAAACGAAGAACAAGTTTGTTCCTTATAAGGGCAAAATTGCAAAATTAAATGATGATTCTCGATTATCTGGGGTTCTTACGCAAATAGTAGTGGATAGGGTTTTTTCATTCCCAGATCCCTGAACGCGGCCGAGCCCGTTTCAGCATTGGGTTTAAGACTTGGAGCGAAGACAGCTTAGCCCTCGGGTTTCGGTGTTACTACTATTTGCTTGAGAAAACCCGAAAAACAAAAACTACAATCCCCTATTACTCTAATAGGGAAGAATATATATCTATATATATGTACATATTGAAATAAAAGTAAAAAAGAAATAAAAATATAAGTACATGTATATATATATACACTCTACTATTATTATTATTGTTATTATTATTGTTAGTATTATTTTTATTGTTGTTATTATATTATATTATATTATACTATATAATATTATATTATATGATATTATTATTATTTATTATTATTGATTTGTATTATATGAAATTTACTTCTCAAAAAGTATTTTGGAGGGGGGTTCTTCGTGGTTTCGGGTTAGGGGGATATCTCTTCGCAGGCTGGTGGCGTCATTGGCGGGCACGCACATTGCGGCTGGAAAGGGGTTGTTTCTAAATGGCAGCGCAGCTCCAGGAGAGAGCGAAGCCAGAACCTATCTACATATCACCTTTGAGATGTGGCGGCGGTGGAGGGGTGGTAGGGTTTAGGGTTTAGGGTTTAGGGTTTAGGGTTTAGGGTTTAGGGTTTAGGGTTTGGGGTTTAGGGTTTAGGGTTTGGGGTTTGGGGTTTAGGGTTTAGGGTTTAGGGTTTAGGGTTTAGGGTTTAGGGTTTAGGGTTTAGGGTGTTCAAACGTGTCAGGGGTAGGAATAGACCTCACAGGATACTATGAGAATTCCCCCTCTGTGAGTTAAGGGAAGGTCTCCCCTTTCCGTAATGTTAATCCCCCCCACCCCCCAATATTAAATACTCCCCTATACTCTTCTGGCACGAGAAGGGGCGTATTTAATATTAGGGGGTGGGGGGGTAAATAATATAGACCCAGAGGTAAGCTAGGAAAAATTGGGGTAAGCCCAGAGCTCTTTCGGGCTACAGCAACTCATCTGGGCTCCTTCTCTGAGGACTCTAACCTGGAAGCCCTGAGGTTCACGTTCGGAGGAGGCTACACCCTAAACCCTAAACCCTGAACCCTGAACCCTAAATCCCCAAAACCTTTAGAGTGGCACAACAATATTCCTAAACCCCACTATTCCCCGAAAAAAAGTGGTGGGGGAGGGGGTGGGGGGGGGGGGTTCGGACCCGAAACCCTAAACCCTAAACCCTAAACCCTAAACCCTAAACCCAGGGATTTAGGGGTTAGACCTGAAGTTGCTCGGCCTTGGCCCTCAACCCTAAACCCCAGCAACTCAAACTCTGGGGGTGCTCCTGGCCCCTTGAACACACCAAAACCCCTTGAGACACACCAAAACCCTCTAAAGTCCAAAGCCTACACCCTAAACCCTAAACCCTAAACCCTAAACCCTAAACCCTAAACCCTCCGTGATAGCCCACAAGACCTATGAAGCCTATGAGCGCGCTAAACAAAAGACATGGGGGGGAGAAACAACATGAACTCCATAGATCCATGTGAGCCCTACAAACCCTTCAACGGAACAAGCCTTAAGCACTTTAAGCCCTAGAAGCCCTAATTCTGTAGTCCGTACAAACCCTTAAAACAAACAATCTGTGGAGTATGGCTTTTCGTACCAGTATCCCCAAAATTGGACACCAACTACATACACTCACCAGTATTCATAAGGCGCCCTAAATTCACTGACCCAAAATATAAACCTGCTTTCAATAAGCCCCACAAACCCGGAAAAAAAAGACTTGGTATACTCAGTAGCCATCTTATAGTAATTGGTTTCTGTTAAAGGGAACCTTGAACCGAAAAACAAAGGCGAAAAGGGTACCAGTGGGCTACCCCCCCCCCCCCCCCAAACCCAAACTCTAAACCCCGAACCCCAAACCCGAAACCTAAGCCCTAAGCCCTAAACCCCCAAACCCCCAAACCCCCAAACCCCTAAACCCCCAAACCCCCAAACCCCCAACCCCGAACCCCCAACCCCGAACCCCGAACCCCTAAACCCTAAACCCTAAACCCTAAACCCTAAACCCTAAACCCTAAACCCTAAACCCTAAACCCTAAACCCTAAACCCTAAACCCTAAACCCTAAACCAAACAGAGGAGAAAGCGGCAGACGCTGACACATCAGAGGCCGCCGCGTTCCAGCCGCGAGCTCGCCTGGTTTGAGGGTTTCAGGGTTTTAGGGATCCCATAAACCCTAAAACTCTAAACCCTAGCCCTAAACCCTAAACCCTAGCCCTAAACCCTAAACCCTAGACCCTAAACCCTGAACCCTAAACCCCAAACCCTAAACCCCAAATCCCTAGGCCTAGCTTAGGCGGGAGCAGGAGCGCGCGAGTCAGGCGAGGGGGGCTGAGGACTTCGGCTTCCCCTCCAAGGGCTTAGGGTTTAGGGTTTCTAGGGTATCTAGGGTATCTAGGGTTTTTAGGGTTTAGGGTTTAGGGTTTAGGGTTTAGGTTTTAGGGTTTAGGGTTGAAGGATCTTAGGGTAGTTTCATGGTCCTTAGAATATGGGCCCTGAATGTGGGAACCCTTTTATTCCCCATAGATACCCTGTGCAACCCAAGCGCCCATACTTCAGAACCCTTGAAATAGGGTAGAGACCCCTGAACCCCAAACCCTAAACCCGAAACCCTAAACCAAACTAAGGAACCACGTAACTACCCTTAGAGGAGCTATAGCTAGAGTCCCTTAACTCTAAACTCTAAACCCTAACCTCCTAACTTGGGTTGTAAGGATCCTGAAGCATTCTTCAGTCCCTTAACTTTAGCTGGTATAGTAAGGGGGGCCCTCCTTGGAGAAGGCTTACATTACAGACCCTGGCCCTAAACCCTAAACCCTAAACCCTAAACCCTAAACCCTAAACCCTAAACCCTGAACCCTGAACCCTAAACCCTAAACCCTAAACCCTAAACCCTAAACCCTAAACCCTAAACCCTAAACCCTAAACCCTAAACCCTAAACCCTAAACCCTAAACCCTAAACCCTAAACCCTAAACCCTAAACCCTACCTGGCCCTAGCAGCCGTAGGGATGATGGGGAGGCCTCATTTGGGCATTTGGGTAAGGTAGGTCCTTGGGATTCCAGGCTTAGAAGAAATAGGGTTTAGGGTTTAGGGTTTAGGGTTCAGGGTTCAGGGTTTAGGGTACGTATTCCAAAAACCCTCAGCTCTAACCCCAAAACAAATTGGAGCTCAATGCCGAATAGAAGGACACGCCACATCTCCCCTTGCACCATGAACCCCCCAAGCATGAACACGAAAACCCTAAATTCTAACCCTAAACCCTAAACCCAAAAACCCTGAAACCCTAAACCGTAAACCCTAGACCCTAAACCCTCCCCCTGGGGGCTGCCACGCTGGCTAGCTGAAGCTCTTCCTGCGGATGTTCTTGGGCGGCTTCGGCTCACGACTGCTTAAAAGAAATAGGGTTTAGGGTTTAGGGTTTAAGGTTTAGGGTTTGGGGAACCTCGTAGGAAAGTGATAGAGTGTTTTCAGGGTCCTCGTCCTACTGCCTGTTGGGCCAAAACTTTTGGGGGTCCCTATGCTTGCTCCTTTACCCGGTACATTCGGCACGCGCAATTGGGGGTCTGGGTAGGGTTTGACGCTGTCAAACCCAAGAAAAGGACCGACTTCCGACACTTGTTCTGCTCGCCCAGGAAGCTCCGCCCTAAACCCTAAACCCTAAACCCTAAACCCTAAACCCTAAACCCTAAACCCTAAACCCTAAACCCTAAACCCTAAACCCTAAACCCTAAACCTGCAAACCCTGCAAACCCAAATCCACCATAATTGAAAGCCCGACAAGGTCAGCGCTTCATACGACCTTCTGATATCATGCTAAGCCCCGGGTCACACTCTCTATTCAGGGGGTAGAAGGAGGGAAGTAATTGAAAAAAGCACTAAGCCCTAAACCTCTAGACACTAGAACCACAAACCCTAAATCCTAAACCCTAAACAACCTCTGCTGCGCAGCCTAAATCCTGAACCCCAAACCCGAGAAAGCCATCGTTCCACCTCGTCGAAGGATGGCCCACGCGGAGGTATGCGCGCAGTCGCCTTGGCTGCTTAGGGCTTTGTAAGAGTTATAGGGTCGAGGGTTAAAGTTTGAGGGTGTTGAGGGTTTGGGGTGCTTACAGTCTAGGGGGCTCAGGCGTTTTGGGTTCTACAAGGCTTGGGTGTTTGGGGCGTTCAGGGCTAGGGTTTGGAGTTTCTTGGAGTCTATAGCATGGGGTTTGGGGCAGGTACGAGGACATGTAGAAAGAACTTTCTAGGTCCGGGCTCAGGAGTTTAGAGGATTTCCTTGGACGCAGCCCAGGATGCCACTTGCGAGGGTGACGTTTTGACTTAGGATGACTTAGGACAGTTACATGTCCCTTAGCTTGGGCCCTTAAAGGGACCCACCTTTTCTACCCTGTACAACCCAAGAGCCCTTACTTCAGACTTTAAAGAGGGTAAGGGACCCTTTTAAGGGCCCGTGTGGCTACCCTGAGACTCAGGGAAGAGTCCGACAATCCGCCCTCGCAACCTGGACAGCAGTTAGCAACGACTGTCGAAACCGGGGCACCGAATTTAACCCTAAACCCTAAACCATTAATAAACACTAAACACCCAAACCCTAATCTTGTCATGTAGTTTTTTTGATTGTTATGTGTACTTTGACCGCCACCTCTGCCATTGGGGTTTAGGGTTTAGGGTTTGGGGTTTGGGGTTTAGCGGTACATATACTTGGGCCTCAACGGGGTTCCTGTTTAGTAGCTCGAGGGCTCAAGTTTGTACTATAGGGGTGACATGGCGGAGCAGGCAAGCCATCGCAGATTTAATCCCTTTGCAGAACTGAATCCGTACACGAAAATTTGGAGTACATGTGCCTCTTCAGACGAGTAAAAAAGTTATAATGGTAACACTATAGTTACGTACCTAGATAACATCCCTCACCCTACCTAAACCCCAAACCCTGAACCCTGATCCCTGAACCCTGAACCCAAAACCGTAGGCCCCAAAATCCAAAACTCGGGGCTCGCACGGCTGCGTCGACGCACCTAAGCCAGTCCGTCACCTCGTCACCTGCACGGAGTGTCACGTCGGCTTTCTGGTCTACGGGGCAAAAAAAACCCGAGCGACCCGCGCGATTGTAGGGTTTAGGGTCTTGGGGTGCAGGGTTTAGGGTAGGGGGAGGGAGCGGGAGGGAGGGAGGGAGACGGAGGGAGAGGGAGCGAGAGGGGGGAGGAGACGGAGCGAGAGGGAGGGAGAGGGCGGGAAGGAGAGAGAGAGAGAGAGAGAAAGATAGACACAGAACGCGAGATGAATTTGGTCCTGAACCAACCCTTGTGTTTATGGTCCATACGGCGATACGCTGCGAGGTATTACAATCGCACACTTGGAGTAGACAAAATGCCTGAAACCCCAAACCCAAAACCCAAAACCCTATAAACCCAAAACCCTACAAACCTGAACCCTGTCAACCCCAAACCCTAAATCTATACTCCCCTTAGAACCTCAACAAACAAACATTTTAACATCCTCTTGGGTTTTATATAAACAAAACTAAAAAGTACTTCCCAAGGGATATATAAATCCCAACCCTGACTCTCTAACTCCCAGACCAACAAACCGTTCAATGACCGACGGCTTCTGGAGTTGGTACTGGCCATCCAGAATAGGGGTTAGGGTTTAGGGTTTAGGGTTTAGAGTTTAGGGTTTAGGGTTTAGGGTTTAGGGTTTAGGGATCCAGAGCTTCCGTGCTTTAACGTCAAAAGAGATTCTTAGGGTTCAGGGTGTGGATTAAGGGTTCAGAGTTTATAGGGTGTGGGTTTTAGGGGTATACTTGGGTTTACAAGGGCCCATACTTCAGTCAGAGCCAACTAAAATGAGGTAAGGGACCATATTGAGGGACCATATGGGAGTATACGAGGAACAAGGGACCCCTAATATGGACCCACAAATAGTGGGATGCCCTTATAATAAGGACCCTGATAAGGCACCCCTAATTTCGGAGACCCGGATATAACTACCCTTAGACACAAGCCCTAGACCGAAAGACTTGCTGGTGTGTAGCGAGCGGCCGGATAGGGTTTAGGGTTAGGTTTTCGGGTTTCGGGCTTCGGTCTTCGGTTAGGGTTTAGTGCTTAGAGTTTAAGGCCTACTACCCCCCGGCGGCGCTTGGCTCTAGCAACTTGACTCGGAGAACCCCGCTGAAACTTTGGGGCCCAGGGCGTGTAGGGCTGGGGCCTTGGGATTTGTGACCGTACCAGCCTTTGAGTTGAAAGAAAAATACTAAAGATGATCCTCTTAAACCTTAAAAACATGCAAAAAATAGCAGAGGGGCCTACCAACTGGAACATGCTCCTGATACGCGCTGCATAGGGAAGCAGCCTCCATCTCCATGCCCCCTGCCCCCTGGTGACACTCCTACACTATAAACGCCCCTTACCCCCAAGCCGCCCAAGCCCATAAGCCATACAAACCCTCAGAATCTATTAAGTTCAAGCACCCCTAAATCCTAAACCCCTATCAACCCTACAAACCCTACAAACCCGATAAACCCTGCAAACCTAAACCCTAAAACCTACAAACCCTATGCACCCTGTAAACCCTGCAAACCTAAACCCTAAACCCTAAAAACCCCCTGCAAACCCTGTAAAACCCTGCAAACCTAAACCCTCAAGCTCTAAAAACCCCCATAAAACCCTGTAAACCCTGTAAAAAAGGGCCTCCGTCCGCCTGCTGGGGAGGAGCCGCCACCCTGGTGGTTCTTGGACAATGCCCAGCTTTAGGGCTTGGAGCTCAGGGTTCCCTCTAAACCCTAAACCCTAAACCCTAAACCCTAAACCCTGAACCCTAAACCCTAAACCCTAAAACCCTAAACCCTAAACCCTAAAACCCTAAACCCTAAACCCTAAACCCTAAACCCTAAACCCTAAAACCCTAAACCCTAAACCCTAAACCCTAAACCCTAAACCCTAAACCCCAAACCCCAAACCCTAAACCCAAGTTTCGAACTCCCAGGGTGGGCTTTCACTCCCAATTGAGGCTTGATCAACTTGTGGTTTGAGTAGGTCTGTCCCTTCAGCATCAATGGGTAGGTGCTGACAAAGCCCTGAGTGCTCGTGGGATTGTGCCATAGACAACGGCATCCGACGCACTTTCGGAAGAGAAAGGCGTGATGATTGCTCGAGGCGTCATGTCATCCGAAGGCTCAATGCGAACCTCCTGACCATCTGCCATGACTGTAAGGCTTCCTACGAAAAAAAACCACGAAACCTCTCTGGCCTCAATCTTGAACCAGCTTTGGAAACGTAGGGTTTAAGAGGATCATGTTTGCGAACATAGGGTTTAAGAGGACCATATTTGGGAACGTAGGGTTTAAGAGGATCAATATCTAGGAACCCTTTTCAGAGGGTCCTAGGGCCCATCAGAGTCCGTTAGCGTAGCTTCCCTGTATTGCCAGGACCCCTGATTAAGCCCTAAACCCTAAACCCTAAACCCTAAACCCTAAACCCTAAACCCTAAACCCTAAACCCTAAACCCTAAACCCAGGCATGAGTTGAGTAGAGAAATATGGATGACACTTCGGATCGACCAAAGCAGCCTAATTGGAGCTCCGATGTTTGATTCCAACTCTCACGCCCAGATTCGAGTACAGCAATACAACCAGGTTTAGAGTTTAGGGTTTGGGGTTTGGGGTTTGGGGTTTAGGGTTTAGGGTTCAGGGTTTAGGAAAGAATCTACATGTGGTTTTTTGGAGGGAGGGGGCTACTTCGAAGCTCCTGCGTAGTTTTAGCTATATCTGCATGCAACCCTATATATGTGGTAGTTATAACCCTACATGTACTGACCGTGAACCTTCGAGGAAGCAACCCTAAGCACCCCCAAACAACCCTAAACCGTGCATAGAACTACCCATGCATGAGCCTTCAATGACTAGGTTGCCCAGTAACCAAGGCTTAAACAGGGTTCCCTTTTTGCTTACAGGGGTTTATAAGGGAACCTAAACCCCCCAAAAAGGGAACAAGGGTACTACTGGGCATCCTAGTCAAGCAGGGCCAGACAGTGACTGAGAAGCGGAAGAAGTGGCTTCCCCCTTAGAGGACTCCTCGTGCACAAGACTACGAGACGTTTTAAGCTGCGAATCTCCAAAAGATAGGCCTCCGTCCCTAAACCCTAAACCCTAAACTCTAAACCCTAAACCCTAAACCCTATTATACCCAATAAATCTAGTATGATTCAATCACGACGGCCGAACCCCAGAGGCCTTTGCCGAAACTAGGCTGGTGTTCTGGCACGAATGCCAACATAAGATCCTCTTAAACTCCTAAACCCTAGAGGCCCCAAACTCTAAACCCTAAACCCTAAACCCTAAACCCTAAACCCTAAACCCTAAACCCTAAACCCAGGTACATGGAAAAGGCCTTTTCCGGCGCACTTCGTCGGCTTCCAGATCGATGGTGTACATCACCTCGAAGAGAACTACATTCCCTAAACTGTCAAGTCTATGGTTTAGGGTTTAGGGTTTAGGGTTTAGGGTTTAGGGTTTAGGGTCTGAATCCTAAAACCCTATAGAGTCGATACCCTCTCCCAAACCCTGACCCCCTAAACTAGCTGCGAAGTCTTGGGGGTTTAAGGGATTTGCACAAGTGAGTATGGTCAGGTTCACCCTAAACCCTAAACCCTAAACCCTAGACCCTAAATCCTAAACCCTAAACCCTAAGCCCTGAACCCAGAACCCTAAACCCTAAACCCATGGTTTCCTCCCAATGCCGGCTCCAGGTGCCTGTGTTTGGGGCTTGCTGCTTATACTGGAGCCACAGAGAAATCTGTTCCCTGGTTTCGGGTTTAGGGTTTAGTAAAACCCTAAACCCTAAACCCTAAACCCTAAACCCTAAACCCTAAACCCTAAACCCTAAACCTTAGGGTTGGCATCGTCAGGGCAGCTAAACCCTAGAAACCCTATAAACCCTCAACTTAGTTGCTGAGTTCATAAGCCCCCCAAAAGTGCACACTTTTCGTTTTGCAGAGATTATATGTAGTATCCCAAAACGTGAAAAGTGTACTCACTCAGCTGCTCAATCAAAGCCATATCAACCCTACAAACCCTTCAAACCCTCTGACCTCTAAACCCCCCACAAGCCCTACAAAGCCCAGCAAACCCCATAAGCCCTGCAAGGCTTTTTACACCCTGTAAACCCTATAAGCCCTGTAAAACCTGTAAACTCTAAACCCTCTACGCCCTGAAAACTCTGCAGACCTGCCTAAAAGCCCTAAAACCCTGTCAACCCTTCTCCCTCTGTGACCTGAGCCCTTTGAACCCTGCAAACCCTACAAGCCCAAAGTCCTACAAACCATATAACCCTTAAAAGTTCTTTGAATCTATTAGCCCGATGAGCTCAAAAGCCTAGAAACCCTAAACCTTATACGCCCTATCAACCCTACAAACCCTACAAACTCTGCGAACCCTATCAACCTTAAAACAACAACCCTAAACCCTTTAAGCCCTAAACCCTGAACCCTGCAAACACTATGAACCCTAATCCGGGGCCAAGGCGGGAGTCTCCTGAAAAGACCTGGGGCATGCGGCTGAGGCTAGGGTTCAGGGTTTAGGGTTTAGGGCTTAGGGCTTAGGGCTTAGGGCTTAGGGCTTAGGGCTTAGGGGTTAGGGTGTAGGGTTTAGGGTTTAGGGTTTAGGGCTTAGGGTTTAGGGTTTAGGGTTTAGGGTGTAGGGCTTAGGGCTTAGGGTCTAGTTTTGCACTTGTGGGGTTGGGGGGGGGGGTCTTGGGGGTTGGCTCAGCTGGGGGTTGAGGATTTGGAGTCCAGGGGGTCAAGGTAGAAGCTTCCTGGTTTGCAAGTGGCACACTCTTCATCTTCTCGGCCCTCGGGGTCCCTAGAAGACCCGGGAGTAACCTAGGAATAAAAAGGGTGCCCTTTTTGGTTTCAAGGGGATTATAAGGGAACCCCCAACCCAAAAAAAAAGGAAATAAGGGCCTACTCCCGGTCCTAGGTCGTTGAAGCTCCGATTGCTTAGCTGATCTTGCTATCAGGGTTTTTGCATCTGATGCGGAACACGTATATGGTCTTGACCGTCACCTACCAAGTGCCCTCACTCACCAGGCAGTTGGGGTTCAGAATCGGATTAGGGATAGGATGTAGGGGGATTTGGGGTTTGGGGTTTAGGGGTTTAGGGGCTTAGGGGCTTAGGAGCTTAGGGGTTTGGGGTTTACGTAGGGCTTGGGGTTTACCATGCCTACCAGGAGTAACCTGAATACCCTTGAATGCACTTAGTACGGGAAACTTCCCTTACGCGCATAGGAGCTCCAATGATTTGGAAACACCTTGCAAGTCCCGACCTTTCTTTGTGTAGGCCAGTGCTTCAAAACCTTGAGCAATAAATAAAGCTGGAGACCCCACAAACAAAAACCCTAACGACAGACCTACAGCCCTGAAGCCTACACACCCCATCCCTGACGGCCGCATTGTACCCCCCAAAGCCATAAACTCTGAGCCATTGCCCGTCTAGACCCAAAAGAAAACCAGGACCTAAGCCCTACAAAAGGGAGGGCCTACTCTAGGTCCTGCTAAACCCTGATCCCTGAAACCCTATAATACAGCCTAAAGCCTGAAGCCTGAAGCCTAAAGAGTACACCCTAAACCCTAACCCCTAGCCTTCAACGGGGATATGCGCTAGTCCAGGTGGGTTTTGAAATTGAGGGCATGCAGGCCTTTCAAGGTAGGTTTAGAGTTTAGGGTTTGGGGAATTCCTTACTTCCAGGGTCTTAGATCCCCAGGGCCGGCCCGACACCCTGAACCCAAAACCGTTTGGCCCCGTCTGAGACCAAGGCAACTGTGGCTGCAAATCATCTCCTGACGTCACGCTCCAAACACCACACGAACGGTGTAGGGTTTAGGGTTTAGGGTTTCGGGATTCGGGTTTAGGATGTAGGGTTGAGGGCTTATAGGGTTTAGTGCAAGTATGTGTGCACTTTCATGGGGCTATTTCTGCTCTTGGCAGAGGCCTTGTTTGGCTGCGTGGCTGCGACGTCAAGTGTTCGCTAAACCCTAAACCCCCTAACCCTGAATCCTAACCCTGAACCCTGAACCCTGAACCCTAAACATACGCCCTTTTGAACAAAAATCACAGATTTCAGGGCCCACTTCTGACCACCGCTTGGTTTTGCACCCCGACAATCCGTCAACGCGCTGAAGAGCTACCGCTCCAGGCGGGGCTCCCTACAGGCTGAGCCCTAAACCCTAAACCCTAAACCCTAAACCCTAAACAAAGAGGAAGTTATGCTCGGACCCCTAAGGATGTACCCATAAGAGGTTCTCCTCACTCGGCCCTTATATGACCCTAAGGAATCTTTAATACAAACCATAAACCCTAAACCCTAAACCCTAAACCGCCCCCACACCCAAGGGTACCGCCTCAGGGGTCCGAGGGAAAGACCCTTGAGCCTGACCAACCCGGATCAGAAGAAGTAGGGTTTAGGGTTGAGGGCTTAGGGTTTAGGGTTCAGGGTTTAGGGTTTAGGGTTTGGGGTTCGGAATCTGGAGTTCTGAGTGTGGGCTCAAGAGCCATGATTCCTTACCACTTCGCTTGTTTCCAAGGAGGCCCCTCAATTTTGAAAGGGGCGGTCCACTCCGTTCGAGGGCGGCGAAGGCTGGAGGGCAAACCCTAAACCCTCAACCCTGAACCCTAAACCACATGTCGCCGTGCCTGTTTGCACGGCGACGTCGGTATCCAAGGGGGCCGCTTGCACCGAGGAATTTGTGACGGGGGAGCCTGCCCAGTGAGCTCAAGTGTGTCGCCAGAAACTCCAATTCCCTAAACCCATGGAAGAAATATGCGCATCAGTTACAGACTTTGCAGAAGGGCTGGAAGGAGCCCTCCGAAGCCCTAAATCCTGCAGGGCTTTGAAGCCAGGCCTGTGCTAAGACTCAGAAAGCCGTACAGTCCCTAAACTTAACACTACATACTCTACAAGCCGGAGCTCGGCGGGTGGGGGGGTATGGGGGTGCGTGGGTGGGGGGGGGGGGGGGGGGGTTGGAGGGGGGGCGGGGGGGGGGGGGGGGTGGGTGGAGGGGCGGCGCGGGGGGGGGGGGGGGGGGCGGGGAGGGTGGGGGATGGGGGGTTGGTTGTTGGGTTGGGGGGGGGAGGGGGGGGAGTCTTTGGGTCCTGCATGTTTGCGACTTGAATCTGGGCGTTTCCTCAAGAAAGAACTTTTCCTCCACCCACCCAATGTATCCCAAATATGGCATATAGCTGCCCATGTACAAGTGCCCCAGGCAAGGGAGTCCCAATTTTGGGAAGCCCCATTCGTGTGCAAGCGTCACCAAGCAACAGCATCTCAAGAAGTTTGAGGCCCCCATGCCAGACGTTGGCCACTGAAGACTTGGTAGTAACCATATGTTGATAAGGGTACCCTGTTTTGGGTTACCTTACAAGGGAACCTTGAACCCCAAAAAAGGAGATGGGTACCACTGGGATAGCCTTGAGAAGATGTTTAGGGCCTGAGGGTTTCGTGGCACCGGTTTCCGTGGATCGCTCCGTGTGCAGCTGCACATTGTTTTGAAAGGCCTCAACCCTAACCCTAAACCCTAAACCCTAAACCCTAAACCCTAAACCCTAAACCCTAAACCCTAAATGCTGGTGTGTACCAGCAGGCATGGAAGGAAACAGTGGACTGCGCATATTCCCTGAATCCGAATCCATTGCAGGCACACACTAACGCGGAGATCTTTTACACGCAAGCAACAAAGAAAGGTCCTTGAACTGATAGCTACTTCTAGGGACTGTGGGCTACAGCACCTACAGTCTGAGATGTTAGTTGTGCTGTACACTATACAAGGTTGAAAGCATGCTCAAGGCTTACTGACTTCTTGGGCCTAATGAGCAAAAGGAAAACAACAAGATAGGCTATGGCCAAACATGTACAGGTACTACAGTTCAACACTCCTCCTTCGCTCCTTCGCTAGGAGGAAGCGACAAACAGAAACCTGTACATGTCCATCCCTTCCGGGAGGAGGCACAGACTCCCCCAAAAGGAAGGACTACAGCTGGCCGGCTGGCCTCAGAGTGCGAGGGCTCTCAAGGCACCTCTTGCAGAAGAAAGCAAACTGGCAGGGACTTACTTTAGCAAGTCCTGCCCGTCAGGGCGGAGTTGTCTTGCTGGGCTCAACGAACTGCACAAAAGCTCAACAAGCAACAAGCCTGGCAAACTCATGCAAGACAAAATGCCAAATTCTACTCGGCTTAGGACACAGCGTCCAAGTCCGATGCTGGCAACAAATATTTGCGACGCACGCCGGGGTTGACATCACAAGGTCTAGTCAATCGAGCACGTCTATGAACAAACCGCTGTCGGTCCAGAAGTTGACGGCTGGACAACGCGGGCATGCTGGAACAGTGTGTCCAATCACTGAAGTCGTACGCACAAGGCGTGCTGTCACCTCGATTGGGGTCTGCATCGCCATCGTCATCGCTGTCTTGCGCGTTCAGCTTGAAACACACTGGCGTGGACTGGCTATCATGTGGGCTGTTGGTCGCACCAATGTTGCCACAACCCTTTCCCGAGCCCAGCCTCAACCTTGAAGCGGCTACAAAAGCACTGGTCGCATGTGGTTTGCCGCTCTCTGATGCGCTACACCTTAGTTGATTTCGCGGGTGCAGGTTGAGCTTGCGGCTCATTGGCTCCACATTTCGGGGCAACCTGGACGTTGCTTCGCTGCTGCTCCCGCGCAGGCCCACCTGTGAGGTTCCGGCAGCATTGGCACGCTCATGCCGCACATCGGCCTCCAACTGGGCAATCAACTCAAGCGCGACGTGTTTACACATGTAGGGGCAGCCGCGGCGAATCACAAGGGGAATGACCTGCCCGTCAGGGTGGTGAAATGCACAATCGGCATCGCTCACCCAACTAAGCCTAAACCCCAAGCGACTGATCACTGCACCCATGGGTATGATTGTTTGGGTTCCTTCCCTTCCGGGTGGTGTGAGCAGAGTGCCATTGCATGTGAGACGCGCGAGCGCACGCACGTTGCCACCCAAGCTCACATCCACCTCAACCGCAGTATCCCATTCCTCCTGAGCGCCAGCCTGTCTCAGGGGATGCGTGGCACCTGAGTCTACCAACGCCAGTGCCTGAGCATGAACATGAAGTGAGCGCATTTGAGGAATGGGGTTTGGAGTCTGAAGCGATTCCTGACGTCTGCTGGCATCACAGCAGGCCTTCACCAACTCCCCAAAAAGCTTGGGCAACACCTGGCCAGCATCCTGACGATGGCCCTTCTGGACCTCTTCCCAGACCCCCATTCTCGGCTCGAAAACTGGGATCTGGGGAGCGGCTTCGCTCCTGCGCGTGTCTCCTCCTGGACCTGTGGCCTGCGTGGAGTTGGTTGCATCCTGCGCTGCCAGCTCCTCCTGAACCTGAGGCTGGAGTTGGGGGCTTGCTTCGTTCACCCTTCCTGCCCGACAATCCTTGCGGTGATGTTCTTTGGAACCGCATTTCCAACACCTGTTGGCCTTGTCCTGAGCGGAAAACACACTCAGATCATGAGCATACTCACAGTGTGAACCCTTTCTGGCAACCACGCGACAACACGAAGAATTTGCACAATTTCCTGGTAGGCAAACGCGGCTTTTCGTTTTGGGTGACGCTATGACTTTTATTGGCCTGCTCACCTGAGTTGGAAATCTCAGCTACCTTGCCAGCTGAAACCTCTGGCTGCGCCAGTGCCAAAGTTTCAAACTCTGCCAGCAGATGACGATGATAAGTGAGGACCTCCTCTCCCGAGGGATGTTGGTCGATGCGCAACACGGCACGCGCGCATTGCATACGAAACGCTGCATCAGAATGCCCCTCCAACACTCCACGGGTCATTTCCGTAAGAGCTCTGGCTAAAACCATGGGATCCGGGACCATCATGCCGCACTCGACGCATCTCCGATGCCACCTACCCCAATCCCTCAAGGCCATGACGCCTGAGTGTACGTCTTGAATCAAGCAAGGACTTTGAAGGCTTCTTAGCACCAGCCACCTCTCGGCGAAACAGCAGGCAGGCAGCCACTCCCGTGGCGCGGCGGGCAAGAATGTGGGCTTTTACTGAGGGGTCTAAAGCCTCAAGTATCATGCCACACGCACGCGAGTTGACCCTGACCCACCTTCCTGAAGCCGAACCCTGTTCCTGAGGCTCAATGCTGAGTCTGTCCAGCGGACTTGCAACACACCACCTGGTATACGCCTCCCTGCTTACCTGCAACACATGTGCCCACCAAACATGGGAGGAATTGGAAAGGTCACACATTGGGTTGTGTATGAGCTCCAACCAATCCTGGAAAATGAGCGACCCGCTTGCCGGCTCTGGAGGCCCTAGCGAGGGAAGAATTGGGGAACCAGGTTTCACAACCTCGTTGTCGCCCTTATCCATGGTGAGCTGGGCCTGGAGGCCCTGCAGCTGCAACACTCCCGCAGTGAGCGCTTCTAGCAACGGCTGCTGCGCTGGAAACCCTGATGGAGCAAACTGAGAACCTGCGTGGCCGGCGACCGCTCCTCCTGGAATGAGCTGCGCATGTGAACCTAATGCGTGCGCGACCCTTGCGGGCGCAGGCGGCACATGCTGTGAACATGGCTGCTGCACCCCCACCCCCTTCACTGACTGCGGAGTCCAAACCCCCTCAGCACCGGAAGACGTAGTCTGAACATTCATACCAGACAACAAGTCTGACTCAGCCGAACCCCTTAAGCAAGGATTAGGGGTTTGGGCCTGCGGCGGAAGTGGCATTGAGCCTGTAAAAGATGGAACCTGCGGTCCCTGCAAAGCGTTGGTTGCACCAACGGGCACGTGGCGCAGATTGAGTGGCACCTGGGAGTCCTGCCAGCTCGGCGGCTGGATTGGGACCTTGGACCTGGGCACCTTGCGCCTGTGCACCTGGGAGTCCTGCCCGCTGGCTGCTGGATTGGGACCTTGGAGTCCTGCCAGCATGGCTGCTGGATTGGGACCTTGGACCTGGGCACCTTGCATGGTACCAGGCCTTCCGGCCGGCGTTGCACTGCACACATTTGCACACACGGCTGGTGAGTCGGCACGACTCGATGCCACAACAGTGGCATGCTCTGGAAGGCCATCCCTCCCGGGAAGCGATGCAATCGGCACTTCGGCTTGCACCCCTCCTAAACTATCTTGAAGCGGGCAACCCTCACTAGGACTAACCCCCGTACCAACCAAAAGCCACACTCCTCTGAACAACCCTTGGTCACTGCACGCATGGTTCGCTTCCATGCCAAACCTTGGCGAAAGCAGATCTGTACTGACACTCGGTGCCTCATCATCATGCCTTGCCGTCAACACTCTTGCAAAACTCCTCCATGTCCCTGACAGTCTGGGCCATCCACTCCCAAACTCTGGAAAAAACGACTTCGCATCCGGTGTGCCTTGGCCTCGAGGTCCTAGGCTTTCGCCCGGAGTTTTCTGTTCAGCAACAGGTGGATCCTGTTCGCCACCTTGCTTGTTCGGCACATGGGCGTTGTGCTCTGCATCCCCATGCGCCCTTCCCGTAGCCAGTGAATGTCGGATTGCGTCCCCACCGTCCAAAACTGACCCAAATGATCCAGCTTCCAAACCAGAAGGGGCACCAATCCCAAACGTAGTTTGTGGCCCATCAGTCTCAGCGCCTCCCGCTGAAACTGATGAAGTCACTCCGGTGGTGCTGTTGCCCTGCCCAAGCGTTGGGCTCATAACCTGCTGGTGTGTACCAGCAGGCATGGAAGGAAACAGTGGACTGCGCATATTCCCTGAATCCGAATCCATTGCAGGCACACACTAACGCGGAGATCTTTTACACGCAAGCAACAAAGAAAGGTCCTTGAACTGATAGCTACTTCTAGGGACTGTGGGCTACAGCACCTACAGTCTGAGATGTTAGTTGTGCTGTACACTATACAAGGTTGAAAGCATGCTCAAGGCTTACTGACTTCTTGGGCCTAATGAGCAAAAGGAAAACAACAAGATAGGCTATGGCCAAACATGTACAGGTACTACAGTTCAACACTAAACCCTAAACCCTAAACCCTAAACCCTAAACCGTGGCTCAGGCCCGCAAGCCCGAGATAGACGCCAAGCCCGACGTACCAAAAAACCAAACAGTTGCCCCCAGAAGTGCCCGTAAATTCAAAGCCCGATTTGGGTTTAGGGTTTAGGGTTTAGGGTTTAGGGTTTCGGGTTTAGGGTTTCGGGTTTCGGGTTTAGGGTTCAGGGTTCCCATTCCTTGAAATAAACCGAGCCGCACTCGACAAAGGAGGTATGATTAGGTCGATCCCATGGAAAGATCGGCCCTGTCAGCAAGATCCCTTGGAAGCAAACCCTAAACCCTAAACCCTAAACCCTAAACCTAAAGCGCCACAGAGGACCAAAGCAGTGGTTCGTCTATGACGGGTCAAACCCGAGGAAGGGAGGAGCCTGGGTCAACTTGCGCCACGGAGCACATTGGCACGCCTGGAAGTGGTTTAGGGTTTAGGTTTAGGGTTTAGGGTTTAGGGTTTAGGGTTTAGGGTTTAGGGTTTAGGGTTTAGGGTTTAGGGTTTAGGGCTCTACATGAAGCATAGAGGGAATAGAGACCAGAAGCCCCCGCCTCCCCCACCTGAGCCCTAACCCCAAATCCTAAACCCTAAAACACTAAAATCCTGAAACCCTAAACCCTAGCAAAAAAACATGATGTACTAAAATCACAACATGGCGTACATCTTCCTGGTTGTAGGCTCTGGTGCTTAGAGGCTTATCTGGCTTTTCAAGGTTGCAGGGCACTAGTGTGGTCATGGGGAGTCCTGAAAATCCTGCATGGATACGTGCCATAGATGCACGGAGCCTGCAGCTTGGATGGAGCCCGAATAAGCGGAACTCTGTTTTTTCAAACCCCACAAACCCTAAACCCTACATCCTCAACCCTGAACTCTGATTTTAAGAACCACACCTCTTCCCCCTCATATGGGTCCAGAGCTCACATGCAAAGCTCCCGACAGTGCCTGGCGCAGTTTGCACGGAGCTCGTGGAGGTACCGGGGGCCTGGCCTGCCAACAGTAGGGGGTTTAGGGTTTAGGGTTTAGGGTTTACGGTTTAGGGTTTAGGGTTTAGGGTCATGGGGACCCTTGGGGAAAAGGTCCCTGTTTGAGAGAGCCAGAAGAGGGTCAAGAGGGGCTCCCGTTTACGGGTACCCCTTAACCGAAAACCCTAAACCCGAAACGTCCTCCTTAACCTACCTCGGAAACAGGTCAGGCTCAGCGGTTCGGAATCTAGGGTATAGGGTTTAGGGTTTAGGTTCGGAAAGTTTAGGGCTTAGAGTTACAGCTCCACACATATATGACAGAATAAAATACCGTACAATATAAGATGTACGAAAAATCTAATGTACAATATACAATATGTGATATGTATACATATATGATACATACATATATGTGCCAGTGGTTTCAGGATGTTTCAGTGGTTGGTGGTTTCGGGGTCTACGGTTTGGGTCCTACGGGCTTGGGGTTGGGGGCGTTACGCTTCTGACTTGTTCAGTTGACAGGATCCGAACGTTGGGGCTTGCTGCTGGGATGTAGGGTTTAGGGTTTAGGGCATCATGTATCAAGCTGTTCAAGCAGAAAACCAGCGCTGCTCCGCGTGAGAAGTCCTTTGGGGGAGGACAGCGCAAAGACCAGGACGTCGTCGAACTCTCCCGATTCCCTCAATCCTCAACCCTCAACCCTCAACCCTAAACTTAAATTAAACTCAAACCCCCTGTAAACACCCAAACCTGAAACCTGACGTGGGCGCCGGCGGCAGGCCTGGTGTCTGGGAAGCACTGGTGCACGTGGGCACGGGCGCATCTGCGCCAGCGGGAAGGGAGGTTTTCAGGCTTGAGAGCCACACTGTTTGAGGGCTTGGTTTAGGGTGTAGGGTTTCGGGCGTAAGCCTTAGGGAGATTTTGATAACACCACGACTACACACTACAGAAGGCGTTTTAGTGCGATGGCTGGCCCCCAAGCCCTGAACCCCTGCACCCTGCACCCTAAACCCTAAACTCTGGCATGAGGAACACACAAACCTGTGTGGAGGGTCGTCTTTGAAAAGACTGGAAAAGCAAAGCCTACGCAAGCCTCTCAAGAACGTTCCCAACGAACATCTTGCACCCTACACCTTAAATCCTAAACCCTAAACCCTAAACCACGAACCCTAAACATTCTAAACCCTGAACCATAAACCCTGGGCAGATGCCTGCAAGAACCTGCTGCCAGGCCCTCCAGGCCCACAATCGGGCCCCTCGCGTGCGCATGGCGGCCGACACCTGACTCCGGGGTCTATTGCTTGCTGTTTAAGGTTGCGGTTTAGGGTTTGGGGTTTGGGGTTTGGGGTTTGGGGTTTGGGGTTTGGGGTTTAGGGTGTAGGGTGTAGGGTTTAGGGTTTAGGGTTTAGGGTTTAGGGACTTCTGTGCTAGATTTTGGAAATCCTATGGCGCAGGTGCGTATATCAATTAGCTTGGATGAATGTTGAATTTTCAGAACATGTGCCAGGGCATTTCCAAGTCAAAAGAGTCCAGAAGCTTCCCGTGGGGAAGCACGAGCGTTTGCACGGAGACGTGAGAGATCAATGCAGTACAGGACGGTCATGCTGCTTCGCTGATGGGGAGTATTCCTGGGTCGGGAGAAGGCCATGTTGGTGCTACACTCCCCTTCGAACCCTAACAAAAACAATATGTTTAACATCTTCTTGGGTTTTATATGAACAAAATTTTTAAAAATAACTCAAGGGGGATATAGGGTGTGGTTGAGGGCTTACGGCTTTGGTACAAGGCCATGCCACGAGCTGTAATATTGAGGAGACTGCCACCATACACAGCCCGAAAACCCTTCAAGCGAAACTCTCCCTAACGGTCCATGTACCTATCTACAGGGTTCAGGGTTTAGGGTTTAGGGCTTAGGGTTTAGTACATACTTGGGCCTTCAAGGGGTTCCCATATAGTAGCTTTAGGGCCCAAATATATACTATACGGGTACATGGACCCCGAGGGTCTTAAACCTCATGGCCTCCACAGCCACAGCCAGCAGGGCTCTGCGGCGTCTGATTGCAAACACAGCCGCGGCCCAGGAGCGAAAGTTTCGGCCTTGTGTTGCATGGGAACATAACGCAGTCACATTTTTGGGATCACACTTCGTCATCTCATACTTTTTGGGGGCTGTACTTGAAGGAGGCGCACTTGAGAACTCATGGCACAATATTCGTCTATCTACCACCAAGGAAAATCAAGCCACGTGCACGACACGGCATCGGAGGCAACAAGATCTGAAACAGAACCCCCGCAAGACTGGCGATGGCATCTCAAACGAAAGTTGAGTGCAACCGGGCTTCTCTTGCCGATCCGCTCTTCACACCGTCAAAACTCAAAAAAAACACTTGATCTCGAGTCTCCACGTAAGCCACAACCAAGCTTTTCTCTCGTCCCAAACTGTGTTCTACCGATGGCTTCGCGCATCTTCGCCTGGACCTGCATGAGAACATGAGCGGTCTCAACAAAGGGAGGAAGCCCATCACGCGCTGGGGATTTCGTAGCGACATAACGCATGTCATCAGAAGGTCCTGACTGCCACCCAGTAGTCCACCCGTCCACCACAAAGTAAGCATGGGTTGAATAGGAACCGTCAAGTGAAGGATTGCAGTCATGGAACTGCTTACAGCGTTTTGATTATGATACCCCGCCGTGGAGCGTGCCAGAGCGCAGCCCACGACGGTGTGGACTGTGGTATGGATTGTTGAAGCCTAGCACCAGACAAAGGCAACACGTCAACAGCTTTCTTGTAAGTCTGTTGTAGGACGGGCAAAGCTTTTCAAAGCAGGATCGTGGTGCCAAAGAAGGCTTGCAAGGGTAGAGGTGTAATCCCTAAACCCTAAACCCTAAACCCTAAACCCTAAACCCTTCTGAGTTGTGTGCCATTCTTCGACAAACCTCAGAAAACACGGTCCGTAAACCCGCACACCCGTACACCCCATCTACCCCTAAGGCCCTACCTGAAGGCTCCAATGTGGTTCCTTTTTGGGTTAGTTATAGGGGATTGTAGTGTGCTACCCCAAAAAGGTACTACATAGGAGCCTCTAGGTAAGGACTCTTATTCTAAGGTCTTCGGGCCCAACGGTCTTCTCATAAAAGGCCCTACTAGTAAGGTCTCTTCTTCTAAGGTTTTTGGGCCCAAATGCCTTCTTAAACAAGGTTTTTGGGGCTATTTTGCGCGTAAGGGTACTGATTGAAGCCCAAAATTCCTCATCTGGTTCGACAAGAGGACTCGGGAGTGAGGAGATGAACCAAAATGTTCCGAGCCAACATAGTCCAGACCCTAAACCCTAAACCCTAAGCCCTAAACCCTAAACCCTGAACCCCAAACCCTAAACCCTAAACCCTAAACCCTGCACGCCCGAGCCGTCGGTTTAGGGTCCACACAACCCGCATTAAGGCCCAGAAACACATGTTTCTGGGCTATTTGAGCATTCTGTTGAGTGTGGTGGAAGGGGTGGGGTGATACATAGCCCCATCCCTAAGGCCTAACCCCAAAGCTTGAAACTCTGAATTCTGAGGGTAGCTACATGGCCCCTTCAACGCCCTGTAAAACCCAAAAGCCTACACCTCAGAAGTGAAAGAAGGCAATTAAGGGCAAGTAAGGCACCATATTCAGGGACCCTGTAGCTTCCCTAACCCTAAACCCTAAACCCTAAACTCTAAACCCTAAACCCTAAACCCTAGACCCTAAACCCTAAACCCAACCCTGAATCCTTACAAGGAACTCTTGGCTCTTGAATGCCCACCTCCAGCCTGCAATGGCCTGAAGAGGCCCACCCGAAGAGTACATCAAGACATGGGGCACTGCCAAGAGTTTCACACCCTTCGTCTTTTCGAGTTTAGGGTTTAGGGTTTAGGGTTTAGGGTTTAGGGTTTAGGGTTTAGGGTTTAGGGTTTAGGGTTTAGGGTTTAGGGCAAGCCTTTCAGGCCAAGGTACTATCTATGGGTAGTCTTATGGGCCCTTGATCTGGTCCCTTGCCTCACTTTCAAGGGTTCTGAAGTATGGGCCCTTGGGCTTTGTATTGCCCATTTGAAGGGACCATGCAATAAAAGGTCGGTATTCCCTTATGGTCCCTTTAAATATACCATTAAAACCCCCAAAACCCTGTTCTAATTATTAAGGCCCCTAAAACCCTAAACCCTAAACTCCAAATTACGATGAGAAAGAAGTTCAGGACCCCAAGCCCTAAGCCTCAGACCTTTCGGTAGACTATACAAGTCAACTCCCGGGCTGCCAAGAGAAAGGGTTTGGGGTTTAGGGTTAGGGTTTAGGGTTTCGGGTTTAGGATTTAGCGTTTTTTGTTTTGCACACACAAACCAGAGCCGATTTGCCTGATATCAGTAGGGATCCTGTACTGGTGGATGAACTGCATCTGGATGGTGTCCCGGAATGGTCGTGCTGCATGACCAATACTGATGGCATGCTACGCATTGGGGCGCAAGCAGTTGCAGGGACAATCTGCGTCACCCACACTGTGCCATGCATGAAAATGTCGAATGATGATGATGGTGATGACGATGATGATGATGATGATGATGATGATGATGATGATGATGATGATGATGATGATGATGAAGTGAAGCCTTCATGATTTTGTTTGAACCATCGGCGATGACGCAGCATCGCACAGAGACGATGAAGCATTGCACCGCTGGAATTACGGGCAGCACCGTGAGGAGTTAGCGGGTAAAGCTTTCAGAAGTCTTCCCTTCCTACTATCGCATCCATTCAGCAGTGTGACGAATGGTCCAACCTAAGTTCGAAACCCTTGACACACTAACCCTAGACGTATGGCATCTGCGCGGTCCAAGTAAGCCCTGAAAGCTCTTATCTGATCCTGGGCACTTATGCTGCAACTTGTGGGAGTGGGGGAACGGGTCCCACGTAAAAAAACCTGCACATCGCCCCGACGCAGAAGCTATATGCACACCTTCGATCTGGCTCCTTCTATGAGATCCTATGACAATACAGCTCCTTCCGGGTGTCCGCAAAACGATCATGTCAGACGTCCGGAATCTGCTATAACTGTGAAGATTTAGGGTTGAGAGTTGCGGGCACAGCTTTCTTCAAAGCGATCCATGGTGGCTTCGGCCAATCCACAGCGACATGGTCAGTTCTAAATAGTAGGGTCCCTTTTTGGGTACTCTAAATAAGAGGGCCGCCTTAGAATAAGGAGCCCCAAAAGGGACCATAGTTTGGAGAAGTGACCACATGGCTTTTCTGAACCAGACTTTGGCAGCGCATGGCCTGACCAGGTATTTGGGCAGGAGGCAAGCTTAAGCGCATGGTGTAGTTTCGACCAAGTCGCTGCAAAACTGGGATCCACCTGCTGTGACATTCCCCTTATACTAACCGTCCTTCATAGGGAATGTAGTACCCCAATTATAATCCCTATTAAGGACTGTCTCGGTAGAAGGGGGGAACATCTCAACTTAAACCCTGAGACCCTGAAGGGTTGGGGGCTGTGGCGAGGCTCTACTCGCTCACTCGGGCCTTAACAAAAATTAGGGTTTAGGGCTTAGGGCTTAGGGTTTAGGGTTTACGGTTTAAAGTTTAGGGTATTCCCTTATGGTCTCCGTATAGTTATACTCTTATAACCCCCAGAAACCCTTCTTAACCCTCGGAAGGCTTCAATCTCCTCCTTGAGGCTAGTTGTGGAATATGCGCCAGCATTCATGCTGGCCCCCCCCCCCCCCCCCCCCCCCCGACAACCCTAAACTGTAATCCCCCCTCCCCCCAGCCCCCTGTGGTGCATGGTATGTTCATGGTCTGTGAGGCGCGGTTGAGCTGTAGAGTTTGGGGCTTCGCTCTGCCACCCGTGGTTCATGATGTTCATGCTGGGGTACACGATGTTTTTGAGGTTTGGGGCTCGGGGTTGAGGGTTGCATGCTCAGGGTTTCCCATCTCCCCCCCGCCCCTGCGGTTCGTGGCGGGTCTAGGGTTCGTGGTGGGTTGAGGGTTCAGGGTTCAGGGTTCAGGGCTTAGGGTTTAGGGTTTAGGGTTTAGGGTTTCGGGTTTGCCATCTCATTTCCCCTGGTTCCAGGTTATGGTCAGGGCTTGGGTTCGGCCGGTCCACACTAACAGTCACCACCAGCAGACCCACAAATAAAAGCACCCGGGAAATGCCAAAAAACTGTCCTGGTGTGATTCCTGGTGCTATTCCTGGTGCTACTTCTGGTGCTATTTCTGGTGCTGTTTCTGGTGCTATTTTCTGGTGCTATGTGACTAGCAATCACCATCAGCAGACCTACAAGATATAGCACCCGGTAAATTCTAAGCTGCCAAAATTGACTGGGATTCCTGGTGCTATTTCTGGTGCTATTTCTGGCGCTATTTCTGGTGCTATTTCTGGTGCTGTTTCTGGTGCGATTTCTGGTGCTATTTCTGGTGCTGTTTCTGGTGCTATTTCTGGTGCTGTTTCTGGTGCTATGTGACTAGCAATCACCATCAGCAGACCTACAAGATATAGCACCCGGTAAATTCTAAGCTGCCAAAATTGACTGGGATTCCTGGTGCTATTTCTGGTGCTATTTCTGGCGCTATTTCTGGTGCTATTTCTGGTGCTGTTTCTGGTGCGATTTCTGGTGCTATTTCTGGTGCTGTTTCTGGTGCTATTTCTGGTGCTGTTTCTGGTGCTGTTTCTGGTGCTATGTGACTAGCAGTCACCACAAGCAGACCCACAAAAGCAGCACCCGGTAAATGCTAATATTCACTGGGATTCCTGGCGCTATTTTTGGCCTGTGTGTTACAAGGCCACGGCGTTATTTGACTGTTAGTGTGGACCGGCCGAACCCCACTCAGGGCGGTTTGGGGGGAAGGGGCGAGAACGGGGAGCCCCCCACCCTACAACGCTACCAGTTGCCCTGGTAAAGCCCCAACACTCTAAACCCGGACTACTAAGTGACTACTAATTGCTTAAGAACGCCACCCCCCACACAAAAGAATAATCCTCCATATAATCGCAATATAGGGATGTTCATTCTTTTTTTTTTGCAGGGGGGAGCGGGTTTGGGGGGAGGGGGGGGGGGGGATGGGGTTCTGAAGCAAATAGTAGAGGGTTTGGAAGCATTTCTGGGAGGGGAGGGGGAGGGGGGGAACGTACAGCGAGTTCATGCACGCACGCACACGCACGCATAAACCCTAACCCCTAAACCCTAAACCCTAAACCCTAAACCCTAAACAGCCCGAAAAAGCCCTAAAACGCCCTAAGCGCTACTCCTCAGTCCGCCACCCAGCCGTCGCTCATCCCAAGGCACCCAGTGCCCATCCAAGAGCTGACGTCGCCTTGGGGCAATGGAGTGTAGGGGTTTAGGGTTTAGGGGTTTAGGATTTGGGGGTTTGGGGTTTAGGTTTAGGGTTTGGGGTTTGGGGTTTAGGGTTTAGGGTGTTGGGGTTTGGGGTTTGGGGTTGAGGGTGTTAGGGTTTGGGGTTTAGGGTGTAGGGTTTAGGGTTCGGGGTTCAGCGTTTCAGCACTAGGACCTCCACGGAGTCTCCTTGTTCGCCCCGAGCCATCAAGGAAGTCAGGCCCTTGACACTGCACCCTGATTCAAGGCCCTAAACCCTAAACCCTAAACCCTAAACCCTAAACCCTGAACCCTAAACCCTAAACCCTAAACCCTAACCCCTCTCGACCCCTACACCCTAAACCTCTAGACCCTGGAACGCAGAAGTCTAAATCCCTAACTCAATGCCCCGAAACTCAAACCCCAAAGCGCAATTTGCACACCGCAAGGCCCAACACCTACCCGGAGAGCCCAATAAGCCCTAGCTAAGGCCTTAATTAAACGAAATAGGGATGTCTGCCATGATTCGAAGAATATGTCTTAAACCCTAAAAACCCTAAACCAACCCTAAACCCTAAACCCTTTTGCCTGCAGCTCTCTGCCCCAGCACTGCGACTCCTCCACGCTGCGAGGACGGCTCTGCGTACCTGAGCTTGGAGTCGCGCCCGCATGAGCGGCAAACAGGAGTTTAGGGTTTAGCGTTTAGGGCTAGGGTTTAGGGTTTAGGGTTTAGGGTTTAGGGTTTAGGGTTTAGGGTTTAGGGTTTAGGGTTTAGGGTTTAGGGTTTAGGGTTTAGGGTTTAGGGTTTAGGGTTTAGGGTTTAGGGTGAAGGGGCGTTTATAGGGATTTATAGGGGTTTATAGGGGTTTAGAGGGGTTTACGCACACGCACACGCACACGCACACGCGCACGCGCACGCGCACGCGCACGCGCACGCGCACGCACACGCACACGCACACGCACACCCACACGCACACGCACACTCACACGCACACGCACCCGCACCCGCACGCGCACGCACGAACACGCACACGCAGACACACACACACACACACATACACACACACACACACACAATCACACAGACTGCGCAACCTTGGTTTCTAAGCCCATTGCAGGAATCTGACACGAGATGCTGACCTCAGCTGAAGGCAGCCCATTTCTGCTTGTATTATTGAACCGCCAAACGAGCACTTGCTCGAAGTGCTCCATGAAGAAGGGAATGCTCACCGAACCATTGGTCTGCAAACTTAGGCCAACACTGTCGGAGGCGTCGTGCCACGGCGATCCTGTGGACGCAATATTGAAATACCGTCAATCGATTGTATTGCTTCAACACAACAAAGCAACTGCTGAGAATACATGAACATCGATTAAGTAACTGGCTGGACAACACACGTGAAGGACCTCGCCGCACACGTGGTATGATGCATAGGACCAATCAGTCACAGACGACTCAGACACGACAGCCTTCCCCTTGCCCCTGCCAGCACCACCGGGTCGTTTCCACCTGCAACAAACCGGTCTTCAAATTCAAGGCAGCGATCAACTCGACCTGCAAATAAGAAAGCTACAGAAGCAACAGCGATCGAGACGGACATAGTTATCGACCACCTTACTTGCACTCATTCTTGCAGACACAAGAGCGCAACACAAGGACAGACAGGTGCAGTTGCACACACACACACACAGACACAAAAACACAGCCACAGCCACACGCACACGCACACGCACACGCACACGCACACGCACACGCACACGCACACGCGCACACACACACACACACACCAAGCAAATAACAAGTCTGACGGTACACGAGCACAGAACAACTTATATAACCATGCTCGAAACTCAATGATTCCAAATTAAACATTTGTCTTAAAGGCAGACCAACCAAATTTAAGAAAACCTTGCGAGCCACGTTTACAGCAGCGCACAAGTACAATACGATTAGAGTCAGTGAAGGAAGCCTGGTAAGCAGCATAACGGTGAATGTACAACACACTGCCGAAGCAGTTGTCGTCGCCCAGGAGCAACATTCTTCTGTATGAAGTGCATTCGCAAACTCGAGGCACATATACAAACCCCCCCCCCCCCCCCCCCCCCGCACCCCACAACTTTGTAACCGAAAACAATACACCCATGGAAATGAACACTCACGGACATGAACTTATTGTGTACCCAGAAACACGCAGGCGCACAGAGACCTATGAACACACCACACATCACATCTGCATCTTGGCACAGGACGGAAGCGCGCCATTGGGCGCAAGCCTAGTGCACCAACGTTTTCTTTTTCTGACGAAGAACAACCCCTCAAATGAACATACGCATCATAAGCGCAGGACGCGGAAACGCAGCACTGGATCAAAATTGCGCATGGCCTCAGCTCATCGCAATGACATGAACTAAAGCTACAGTAACATGCAAACTGTGCCAATCCAGCAAAATGATGAGAGAAACACCTTCTTCCGATGTGTACTGGCCGTGACCTGAACACTGCGCCACAATAACAGCTTATGTTAGTGATATGACAGTGTATGCTAACTAACTTAGACTCACTGCCCCGGCTTCCCCCCGGTGTGCACTCACAACCCACGGTGTCTTCCCGAATCTGCAACAGCAACTAGAGCTGCAGACATCAGACAGCCAAGTCCTATACCTTCGAACTGCAGACCACGTCAGCCTTTCAGAACCAATGTGTGACTGCATTGCGTAACATTGCCATGCGACAAACTGCCTGACAGCAGAAAACAGTGCTACAAAAGACAGCACGTCACGCACAGAACTCGCCTATCCCTGATCTTCTCCGGTGCTTCACAGATCAGTACTAGAAAATGTACACACGACCAAGTTCGCCTCTTCCTCGCTCACGATGTCGACCTTCTACTACAAAACAAACACACACACACACACACACACACACAGAAATGTCAGACACTCCGTACGTCAACTGCCCATGTGGATCATCCAGGTACGGCTGAGCATCCCACTTTCCGCAACAGCTCCCATTCCTCGGCTTGATGGATCTTACTTACCAGAAGGACAACATCCAAGCATACCGTTGACATGATGCAAGCCCAGTAAGAATTATAACTATACTACAACAGCTCTCGCCAAACCATAAGTAGGATCCACGGCTTTTGCACGCAACGCCACAGAGTCGAGCAACATGAATAGAAAGCTAAGTGCCAAACCCACAAGTCAAAAACTGTCGACATTGCCTGAGAATGATCCCGCGCAATTACAATTACAATGTCACATTTGCCGTCAAGAACAACATGTAAGGAGCTCACCAGCTTCAAACGGCTTGGCGCAGCCTGGTCCAACACGACACGCGAAGAAGAACCGTCAAGTAACCCGCATGAAAAGCTGAGTACCTAACCCACAAGTAACACAATGTGGACATGGCCTTAGAATTGCCCCGTGCGATTACAATCATCATGCCACATTCGCCGTCAAAAAAACAACATATAAGGTGCTGACCAGCTTCAAACGGCCTGGCTCAGCCTGCCGCGACACGACATGCAATGAAGAAACCATCAAGCAACACGCATGTAACGCTGGGTGCCAAACCAACGACTTCAACATGCTGCACGTGGCCTAAGAACATTGCCATGCAATTGCAACTACAACGTCACATGCCACGTAACCAAAAAAACTCCAACACAACACGCGAAGAAGCAAGCTAGTTCACCACCGACAGCAGCGTGTGTAAGGAGGTCACCAACTTCAAACGGCCTCCATCAACCTGGCCCAACATGACATGTCAAGAACCAACCTAGTTCAAGACCAATAGCAACGCATTAGGAGTCAGGAGCCCGCCAGCTTCATACGGGCACGAACAGCCTGAAACACATCTTCATTCAAATTGACTCAAATTGACATACCACGATCTAGCACTGCAGACGTAAATCGCAAAGTAAGGCGACAACAGCCTTCACATTGCGACGTACCTGCTCCAGCACAAGTAAAGAAGGCGCCACACACCACACACCACACGCCCCACACAGGGGTTTATAGGGGTTTAGGGTTTAGGGCTTAGGGTCTTCTGGCCGGGGCAGCCTGCTCTGCGCTCTCGGTCAGCTCTAGCTTTGGCTTTTTCGTATATTGTTGGTTCGTAGGGAATGAGGTCCCGCGATGTATACCCTTTTTAGGGATTATATAGGGAAGCTCATTCCCTCATTCCCTAACCAACAGTAAGTTTCAGCACCTCCAGCGCGGCCTTCTGCTCTGCGATCTTCTGTTCGAGGTCTTCTTGATCTGGGGGTTTACGACAATAGGGGACACCTTAGAAATAGACCCCAAATAGTAGCACTCCCTTATAAGAAGGACCCTAGTAATTAAGGTAGCCCCCTATTTTCGTAAACCCCCATCCTGTCTCAGGCACATGAGCTGGTCCTGCAAGAAGCCCAGCCGCGAGTTTGCTTGCTTCTCCTGCGCCTGGCCCACAAGGGGTACTTAGTTGCTGAGTTCATAAGTCCGAAAAAAGTGTACACTTTCAGTTCTATAGGGGGTTATACTTTGCCAAAGAGTGTAAAGTGTACTCATTCAGCTACTAAGGGAAAAAGGGTCACCCCTTCTATGCCCCTTAGATACACTAGACAAATTAAGGGCCCATACATCAGAACGCTTTAAAGGGGGTGAGGGACTATATTACAGGTCCACTGGGGAAACCAAAACACTAAACCCTGAAGAACATACGCGAGTAACTCCTCACTTCTTTGGGCTCGGAAAGGCAAACAGTCTCCAGGGCACGGGCTTTTAAGGTCTGGCACCTTTGGGTTTAGGGTTTAGGGTTCAGGGTTCAGGGTTTAGGGTTCAGGGTTTAGGGATTAGGGTTTAGGGTTTAGGGTTCAAGGTTTAACATGTACCAAGGGCCCACCGAGGAATTGTGGCAGGTGGCCCAGCTGGTAACTTGGATGTATGCCTTTCTGCCCTAAACCCCTAGCCCCGAAAACCCTAAGCCCTTCACCCTAAACCCTAAAACCCTAACCCTAAACCCAAAAACCCTAAACCCTAGACCCTAAACCCTAAAAACCTAAACCCTAAACCCTTTGTGCACTCCCCTTGCTGCGAGTTTACCATCGAGCTGCAAGAAAGGGCGTGCCAAACCCTAAATCCCACTTAAAACCCTTTGTTAACTTTCTCACCCATGTTAGACATTCTTCAACGTGCTCTTCGTTGTGAAGCCTGTTAAAGCCATTGGCTTTAAAACACCTTCCTTAAACACTAAACTCTTTACCATTTGTAAACCCTGGAAACCATTGCTAAAATAGCCCAAACAACAACCTAATCTTGGGGCTCTCACCTAGCAAGGGGTCGGTGCAAGATTGAATGGGACCCGCTCTGAACAACGGATGGGCAAAAGGTTTAGGGTTTAGGGTTTCGGATTTAGGGTTTCGGGATTAGGGTTCAGGGTTTAGAGTTCAGGGTTTAGGGTTCAGGGTTTATGGCAGTGCGATTCCATGCACGAAGTACACCCTTGCCCAGCGGCTGAAGACTCCAAACTGCAAGAGCGAATGTATCCTGGTAGCCCAGTACCATCTTATAATAAGGGCACCCTTTTTTGGCTGGTTACTGTAGAAGGGAACCTTGAAAAAAAAAACAAAAAAGGCAAACAAGGGTACCACGGGGCCGCCAAGGTATATAAAGAGCTGTGCATGCATGCGCACACACGCGCTTCCCCATGTGCAAGCGCGGTGCAGCAGCCGAGGAGTGCCGCTGGATACGCAGCCTGAGCAACATGTCGATGGTGATGATGATGATGATGATGGTGATGATGGTGATGGCGATGATGATGATGATGACGATGATGATGACGATGATGATGCTTGGCTGCACTTAGGAGGGTAGATATAAATTAAACGTTTTAGTTGCCATATTAAGAAACCCAAAAAGGCTAAGGATCTAAAGTTACAGTAAAGCACCACAAAGGATGATGATGATGATGATGATGATGATGATGATGCGATTGCTGCGAGCTCATGAGGACTGGCAGCTGTAGGACAGTTAAGTGAGCACGGTGTCATACTCCACTGCAAAGTCGGATGCACACAATTGCCATCGTTGACCCAACATTGTCACAGGCACACCGCTGTCCGCAAATGGCTTTACAACCTTCTTAGTAAGAGGGGCGTAGGGTTTAGGGTTGAGTTGGGAAAGAGGGCCTTTGGGCCCTTAAGCCCTAAACCCTATAAACCCTAAACCCTAAACCCGAGGTTTTAGGCCTTGGGCTTCAGAGCTCTGGGGGTTGGGGCTTGGGTGGCCAATGTCGAGTCTAGCTAGCTCTTCTCCGCTTCTAGTTGCACCTTGACATACCAAGAGGACCACCGTCAACGACAAAACACAAAGTGAAAGTAGACATCCGAAACAACGAAACCTGCAGGTAGCCGAAACACAGCACACAACCCCCCCTAGATGAAAGCCCCAGAGCCTAAACCCTAAACCCTAAACCCTAAACCCTATACTCAAAACCCATCCCCCTCAGGCTTCCCCACTCCAGGACTTGCAGGTGCTTCCACCAAGCCGCCTAGCACGAAGCAGAGTTGAGGGTTTAGGGTTTAGGGTTTAGGGTTTAGGGTTTAGGGCCAGTTTAGGGTTTAGGGTTTGGGGCCCTCTACTTAGCCTGGACAAAACCTTAATGAAGCTTGGGCTTTCTGGGGTTCACAATTTACCCTAAACCCTAAACCCTAAACCCTAACCCTAAACCCTAAACCCTAAACCCCAAACACTGCTCTGTACTTTGCAGTAAGGCCCACGCAGCGGCTGGTAAACCTGATGGGGCTGGGGGAGTTTAACCCTTAGGCTCAAAATAGCCCCCCCGAAAGCCTTCTATGTCAAGGCCTTTGGTCCTTAGAATAGGAGTCCTTGGAGCCTTAAGGTATGGTCCGGGGGAATCTAAGAAAGCCCCCCCCCCCCCCCCCCAGCATAGCTCCCAAACTGCCGAAGCCCTACAACCCTGAAGCCCTGAGCCCCGCAAACCCTCAAATCGTCGAAGCCCTGACCCTTAGGCTCAAATTAGCCCAAAAACCTTCTACAAGCAGACAAGAAGGCCGGTGGGCCCCAAACCCTAAAACCTGACACCTAAACCCTAATCGCTGCTGCTAACCCCTACACCCAAACCCAAAGCCCTAAACTCTTAGGGGAATTCTCCTTCGGGCAAAGACTCAAACCCTAAACCCCAAACCCGAAACCCCAAACCCTAAACCCTAAACCCTAAAACATAAACCCTAAACCCTAAACCCTAAACGAGAGGGCAGCGCGCCCTACGGCGCGCGAGCACGGCATCTAGCTGCAGCTGCAGCTCGTGGCTTCCCGCCTGGGGGAGGGTGTGGGTTTAGGGGGTTTAGGGTTGAGGGTTTAGGGTTTAGGGCTTAGGGTTTAGGGTTTGGGGTTTAATTAGGGTTTAGGGTTTAGGGTTTAGGGTTTCGGGTTTAGGGGTGTAGGAGAAAGTAGACTCCCAATCTCGCCTCGGTCTAAATCCAGGGTTTAGGGGCCACGGCCCTGACACCCCAAACCCTGAAATCCTCAACCGGAAGCTTATTGAGGCTCGAGGGCTTAGGGGGTTTAGGGTTTAGGGTTTAGGGGCTGAGACCAAGGGCAGGGGCCCTAAGCCCTCTAAACCCCTCACGCCCTAGGTTGGATGGTTTAAGTGTACCCAAATCCCAAAACCCCGCATCCCAAAGACCCAAAGCTCTAAACCCCACAACACCACCACCACTAAAGCGTAAAAGGAGACCTCCAGGGCTATGTGCTACTGTAGGTTCTGCAGGCCCCTCAGCAACTTGATAAGACGCAGAACACGTTGAAAGCTTTCTTTGGGGGGGGGGGGGGAGTATAACCACCGTATAAACCCTGAAGCCCAAACCTTCCCGTTATACTAACGGTCCTTCATAGGGATTAGAATAAGGGGTACTACCCTACTATAAGGACTGTTAGTTTAAGGGGAAACTCTAAGCCCTAAACTTGGCAGACGCATCTCTCTCAGCCAGGGGCCTGCTGCTGAGCTCTCTCGGCATTCCGTTCCGCGAGCAAGTCCCGGCATCTTGCCTGGAGCTCCTGATCGGGTTTAGGGTTTAGGGTTTAGGGTTTAGGGGGTTCAGGGTTTAGGGTTTAGGGTTTAGGGTTTCGGGGCGTCAAGGGTTTATAGGAATTGGGTTTGGGCACAGGATAATTTGGGGGTTCAAGGTTCCAGATGTGCAAGTGGGGATTCGGGCCCGGGGTTCGGAACGTGTGTAGAGTTCGGGAGGTGCCCCCCCCCACAAGACAACCCAGAACCGCTCGGGTTCGGGGCTTGAGGTTCAGGATCATTCACATGGCTCGGAGTCGTCCTGATCTGCAGTTTAGGGTTGAGGGTTAGGGTTTAGGGTTTAGAAGTTCGAGAGCCCAGGGCATGTACGCAACAGGACTGCAAAACGACGGTCTTCAGATTGCCTGCTACCCGTGCCAAGGTGCATGCAACTTCAGCTCATCAAGAATACAATCGGCAGCTGCAGGGCACCCCCCCCCCCCCCACCCCCAATCCTAAATCGAGCCACGGACCCGGTTTTGTTTAGGGTTTAGGGTTTAGGGTTTAGGGTTTAGGGTTTAGGGTTTAGGGTTTAGGGTTTAGGGTTTAGGGTTTAGGGTTTAGGGCCTAGGGTCTAGGGTTTAGGGTTTCATGACTTTCCGAAAGCCCTGCGCGCAAGTCGCTGCCTGAGCCTGGCTCTCTGCGGAAGCGAGCTCGGAGTGCAAATGATCTCGCTCCCCGCGTGCCGCCTTCAAAGTTCTCAAGACATACAGGAGCTTAGTTTAGGGTTTGGGGTTTGGGGTTTGGGGTTTGGGGTTTAGGGTTTAGGGTTTAGGGTTTAGGGTTGATCTATCAACGGCTTATAATTATGGTAGACGTATTGCTCTTCGCGCTTACCGACAGGCTATTCGAGAAAAAGGCATTGACACGGAGGTGTTGGGGAGCAGCATTTCATGAGGATTCACAGAGGGCCAGGGACAGAGAGAGACAGAGAGAGGGTTAGAGTGAGAGGGAAGTTGACGGGTCAGCAGGGTTGCCAAACATGCTTACGGTTTTTGAAGGTGTGGGGGAGCAGGGGCAATCTTTCCCGCCATCTCTGCTGTGCCGCAACACCCTTCTCTATCAGGCATTAAAATGTGTTCCGAGCTCGGCCCCGCGTGGGCCTGCCCAGCGCCATCCAGTGCACTTACCGAAGGGCCGAAGCATACTGGAGCGACTCAAACTAAACCCCCCAAGCTATCCACTGTAAAGCGAAGTCGTGCAATGCCGGGTTCTACCTCTGGAGTTCACCCGAACAAGCCCAAGACTCAAACTTCTAACTCCTCTACACTAACTTGGCAGAGGAATCCCTCACGCTCAAGGGCCTGCTGCTGCGCTCTCTCAGCGTCCAATTCCACGAGTAACTCCCGGCTTCTTGCCTGGAGCTCCTGCTAGGGGTTTCCAAGAATTGGGTGTAGCATGGTTTAGAGATCTGCAACCAAGGACTTGTAGCTCTGTGCTTCCTGCAGTGCCCTCAACTCAACCCAGAACCGTTCTGGCTTGAGGTCCAGGGTCGGTTACATGGATTGACGTACCCTGAGGGTCCATGTACTTCACGATTATATACTTGGGCCCTACAGTCCCTATATAGGAGCTGCGTTAAGGCCCGAGTATTCCTTAGTTAGGCACATGAACCCTTCGGGGTAGTCCTCTTCTGTGTAGGTAGGGCTTATGAATTTCAGGGAATATGTGCTGCAGAACCGGCTTCAGAATGCGGCGTCCCCCCTCTCAACATCCACTCAGGGGTTGGGGTTTAGGGTTTAGGGTTTAGTGTTTAGGGTTTAGTAAGGGTTTAGGGCTGGAAGCGGCAGGGCGCAGCCCCCTGCTTCGCGACCGCAAGTCCCTGCCTGGGCGTGACTCTCTGCGGAAGAAAGCTCGGAGTTCAGCTGATCTCCTTCTCCGCGTGCCGCCTGCGCGAGTACAAGCCTTACAAGGCATGCAGGGGCCTGTAGGTTTATGGTCGGTCGATGAAGAGACAAAAAGAAAGAGAAAGAGAAAGAAGAGAGAGCCCTACAGGGAGAGAGAGAGAGAGGGAGAGATAGCGACAGACAGAAAGAAACCGGGTACGGGGACAAGCAAATCTCAATTATGTCTACGTTTGAGGTACAAAGGTGTGGGCAAGTAGGGGCCAGTGTTCCCAGCCACACCAGGGCATCTACCGAAGGCCTTCAAACAGGTGGGCAAGACCCTAAACCCTCTCTTTCATATAATAATTTAAACCTTAATGGGGAACGTGGCCATTGGCAAAAAAACCGTGGCCATTGGCAAAAAAGCCGTGGCCATTGGCAAAAAAGCCGTGGCCATTGGCAAAAAAGCCGTGGCCATTGGCAAATTCGCCAATGGCCACGGGAAAGTTGCCAATGGCCACGGCTTTTTTGCCAATGGCCACCAATGTCATTAAGGTTGGTCGCCAAAATGGGTTTTTCAAACCCAATTCGCACAAAATGCCCCCCAACCTTAATGGGGAACGTGGCCATTGGCAAAAAAGCCGTGGCCATTGGCAACTTTTCGGGCTTTTTGCCAATGGCCACGGCTTTTTTGCCAATGGCCACGTTCCCCATTAAGGTTGGGGCCCAACCTTAATGGGGAACGTGGCCATTGGCAAAAAAGCCGTGGCCATTGGCAAGTGGCATTTGCCAATGGCCACGGCTTTTTTGCCAATGGCCACGGCTTTTTTGCCAATGGCCACGGCTTTTTTTGCCAATGGCCACGGCTTTTTTTGCCAATGGCCACGGCTTTTTTGCCAATGGCCACGGCTTTTTTGCCAATGGCCACCCCCCCCCCCCCCCCCCCCCCAACCCCCCCCCCACCCCCCACCCCCCCCCCCCCCCCCCACCCCCCCCACCCCCCCACCCCCCCCACCCCCCCACCCCCCCCCCACCCCCCACCCCCCCACCCACCCCCCCCCCCCCACCCCCCCCCCCCCACCCCCCCTCCCCCCCCCCTCTACACCCCCCATTCCCTCTTCTGGCCCAGACCCCCATTCTGGGCTTGAAAACCTGGGTCTGGGCCAGATCCAGATCAAGATGAAGGCTTTGCGGGGCCGGGCAACGCGGCAGCCCCTTCTCAGTGTTTCTCATCTTGGGTGGTCCGAGGGTGGGGTGGGGAAAAGCAACTTCCGGACCCCCATTCTGGGGTTGGAGCACGAAGGGAGGGGACATACGACAAACCTCTAAAATAAACCCGTACATTTCTCAATGTTTTGGGATTCTCTGCAAGCAGAAGAAAAGGGACATACGACAAAGCCGACGAGCACGAAGGGAGGGGACATACGACAAACCTCTGAAAATAAAACCTCAGTTTCTTAATTCTTGGGATTCTCTGCAAGCAGACAAAGAGGGACATACGACAAAGCCGACGAGCACGAAGGGAGGCGACATACGACAAAATCTAAGAGCACGAAGGGAGGGGACGTACGACAAACCTGTAGACCTCTCATCAAACCCTACGAGCATGAAGGGAGGGACATACGACAAACCCTACGAGCACGAAGAGAGGGGACATACGACAAACCTCTAGGCCTCTCATCAAACCCTACGAGCAGGAGCCAACATGAGGCGAGGTCACCGGGGCACTAACTGGAAAGCAACCATGTGGAAGCCAGGCAGCTTAAAGTGTGCCAAACACAACCAACAAGACGGCCAAAAATAGGCAGGGTCACCGGGGAAAACGAACACGAGCAAAGTGAATATGAGCAGAAAGAGAACGAATACGAGCAGACTGACGTCGAGCAGAGAGAGAACGAATACGAGCAGAATGAATACGAGCAGAAAGAGAATGAGTACGAGCAGACTCAGTACGAGCAGAAAGACAGCGAAAACGAGCGGACTGAAATCGAGCAGAGAGCGTGCAGAAAAAGCACGAATACGAGCAGAAAGAGAACGAACACGAGCAAAATGAATATGAGCAGAAAGAGAACGAATACGAGCAGAATGATTACGAGCAGAGAGAGAACGGAGAGCAGACTGAAATCGAGCAGAGAGAGAGAGAGAGCGAATACGAACAGAATGAATACAAAAAGAAAAACAACGAAAACGAGCGGACTGAAATCGAGCAGAGAGAGAACGAATACGAGCAGAATGAATACGAGCAGAACGAGAACGAACACGAGACGAGCAGGTCAGAAAAAGAACGAATACGAGCAGAATGAATACGAGCAGAAAGAAACGCATACGATCAGAATGGAAACCAAGCAGAATGAATAAATGAGGTCGGAGGACAGGGCTTGCTGAGGAAAAATGAGAACTTTATATTTCTTAATGTTTTGGGATTCTCTGGGTGGGTGGGTTTTTTTCTAGAGTCCAGACAGCGGCTCTACTGGAGATTGCTCGACCCAGAGCTGCTGAACCCTAAACCCTAAACCCTAAACCCTAAACCCTAAACCCTAAACCCTAAACCCTAAACCCTAAACCCTAAACCCCCCAAGCTATCCACTGCAAGTCTAGGAGAAGCCGTGCAATGCCTGGTTCTACATCTGCAGTCAAGCCGAACAACCTCAAGACTGAAAGTTACCTCTACAGGAACTAGGCGAAGGAATCTCCCTCACTCAAGGGCCTGCTGCTGCTTTGCTCTCTCAGCGTCCAGTTCCGCGAGTAACTCCCGGCTTCTTGCCTGGAGCTCCTGATCGGGCTTAGCGGGTTTGCGGGAATGGGTTTACGGATCTGCGACGAAGGACTTGTGGCTCAGTGTGTTCGTGTAGTGTTTTCAATCAACCCAGACCCGCTGGGGCTTGGGGTTCAGTGTCAGTCAGAGAGATTAAAGTAGTCCTCTTCTCGGCAGGTAAGGGCTTGTGGATATATGCATAGGGCTGGCTTCAAATTGCCGAGAACCCATGCCAACATCCACGCAACTTCGGGTCGTTCAGAAAATAGTGCAGCTGGCAGCGGTCGGGCAGCCCCACTCCTAAATCGAGTCACGACCCAGCACAGCCCCCCTGCTTCACGACCGCACGTCCCTGCCTGGGCGTGACTCTCCGCGGAAGTAAGCTCGGAGTTCAGTTGATCTCGTTCTCCGCGGGACGCCTGCACGAGTACAAGCTTCACCAGGCATGCAGGGGCCTATAGGTGATTTTTTGGTCGGTCGATATAGCAGAAATCGACAGTCGGGCTTACTGACGAAAGCTTTGTGATACAGGCGGATGTAAACGCTTGGGGACAGGATAGGGAGAAAGAGAGAAAGGAGAGCGAGAACGAGACAGAGAGAGAGAGAGAGAGAGACAGAGAGACCTTGAACAACTGGGCAACACGGAATCATATTGGAGCCTCTCGAACTAAAAGCTGTAAATCGACGGGAAGCCGTGCAATGCCGGGTTCTACACCTGGAGTTCACCCGAACAAGCTCAAGACTCAACTTCTAACTCCTCTACAGGAACTCAGAAGGAATACCTCTCACTCAAGGGCCTGCTGCTGCGCTCTCTCTGCGTCCAGTTCCACGAGCAACTCCCGGCTTCTTACCTGGAGCTCCTGATCGGGCTCGCGGGGCTCATAAGCATAGGGTTCAGGGATCAGCAACGGAGGACTTGTGGTTCGGGGTCGTGGTGTCACCAATAGGATGTGCTTACGATTTGCTTCAAAGCATTTATGCAACGGGACTGGCTTCAGATTGCCGAGACCCCATGCCAACATCCACGCAACTTCGGGTCGTTCAGAAAACAGTACAGCTGGCAGCGGTCGGGCAGCCCCAATCCTAAATCGAGTCACTACCAAGCACAGCCCCCCTGCTTCACGACCGCAAGTCCCTGCCTGCGCGTGACTCTCCGCGGAAGTAAGCTCGGAGTTCAGCTGATCTCGTTCTCCGCGGGACGCCTGCACGAGCACAAGCTTCACCAGGCATGCAGGGGCCTATAGGTGATTTTTTGGTCGGTCGATATAGCAGAAATTGACAGTCGGGCTTACTGACGAAAGCTTTCTGACACAGGCGGATGTCAGTGCTTTGGGACAGGACAGGGAGAAAGAGAGAAAGGAGAGGGAGAACGAGACAGAGAGAGAGAGAGAGAGAGAGACAGAGAGAGAGAGAGAGAGAGAGACAGAGAAACCGAAGACCTTGAAAAGCTTGGCAGCACGGAATCATATTGGAGCCTCTCGAACTAAACCCGCCAAGCTATCGACTGTAAATCGACGGGAAGCCGTGCAATGCCGGGTTCTATATCTGGAGTTCACCCGAACAAGCTCAAAACTTAAACTTCTAACTCCTCTACAGTAACTCAGAAGGAATCCCTCTCACTCAAGGGCCTGCTGCTGCGCTCTCTCAGCGTCCAGTTCCACGAGCAACTCCTGGCTTCTTGCCTGGAGCTCCTGGTCGGGCTCTCGGGGCTCATAAGCATAGGGTTTAGGGATCAGCAACGGAGGACTTGTGGTTCGGGGTCGTGGTGTCACCAATAGGATGTGCTTACGATTTGTTTCAAAGCATTTATGCAACGGAACTGGCTTCAGATTGCCGAGACCCCATGCCAACATCCACGCAACTTCGGGTCGCTCAGAAAACAATGCAGCTGGCAGCGGTCGGGCAGCCCCACTCTTAAATCGAGTCACTACCCAGCACAGTCCCCCTGCTTCACGACCGCACGTCCCTACCTGGGCGTGACTCTCCGCGGAAGTAAGCTCGGAGTTCAGCTGATCTCGTTCTCCGCGGGCCGCCTGTAAGCTATCCACTGTAAATCGACGGGAAGCCGCGCAATGCCGGGTTCTACATCTGGAGTTCACGCGAACAAGCTCAAGACTCAAACTTCTAACTCCTCTACAGTAAATTGGCAGAGGAATCCCTCACGCTCAAGGGCCTGGTGCTGCGCTCTCTCTGCGTCCAGTTCCACGAGCAACTCCCGGCTTCTTACCTGGAGCTCCTGATCGGGCTTTGCGGGGATAGGGATCAGCGCCGCTTAGGGTTTAGGGTTTAGCGTTTAGGGCTCATGGTTCAGGGTCCGGGTGGTGCCTTCAACTCACCCCAGAACAGTTGGGTCAGGGTCAGTCACATGGATTGAAGCTCTTCGGGGTAGGCAGCGCGCACGATGAGCTTAAGGGAAAATGTGCAACAGGACTGGCTTCAGATTGCTGAGTGCCCATGCCAGACAATATAATTATGAAAACGAACTATAGGAATCTTATTATTAATAGTACTAATCGTATCATTCCTGTGCGGGGGGTGGACATATGGGGGGGGGGGGGGGCTAATTCACATGAGTCGGAGTAGTCTTCTTCAGTGTAGGTTCACAGGTTCTCAGAGACACGAGGCTGCGGCACGCCAAGTCGTACCCTAAACCCTCAACCCTAAACCCTTATAAACCCTGAGGGAGTAGGGGTTGAGGGGCACAGGGATGTCAAGTGGCGGCAGAGTTTGTAGAGTTCAGCACATGTAAGTTTAAAACTCAGAACTGGCCCGCGGATTGCTGTGTCCCACACTAGGAGGTTCAGGGTACTTATTCACCCAATAACTGTACTGTTAACCCAATTGATGACCATGTTAGGGCACTTAAGGGGCTTACAAGTGGGTTATGAGTACAGTTGTTATTGGGGTAGTAGGTACTCTGAACCTCCAGGTACCGGAGGGTCCAGGCATGTTCAGCTCGTGCAGAATAACAACGGGCCCCCTAAATGATCAGAAGCCCCTCGGATCAGCACATCTTCCCGATTCGTCATGATTTCCCAAGAGCCCCAAAACCCCAAACCCCAAACCCCAAACCCTAAACCCTAAACCCTAAACCCTAAACCCCAAACCCTAAACCCTATAACCCTAAAGAGCCCCAAAACGGAAGTCGGTGCCTGGGCGTGGCTCTCTGCAGATGAGAGCTCGGAGTTCAGCTGATCTCGCTCGCTGCGTGTCGCCTGCAAGAGGGCTTCGGGTTTGGGGTTTAGTTTGGGGTTTAGGGCTTAGGGTTATGGTTCAGGTTTTAGGGTTTGGGGTTAGGGGTTTAGGGTAAAAGGCTTTAGGGTCTAGGGTTTGGGGTGTTGGGGTTTAGGACTACCTCCCCCCCCCCACCCCTCCCCCCCCCCCCCCCCCCCACCCCCCCCCCCCCGGGGACGTTCCAGGGAAACTATTTGGCGCGACCTGGAGAAGCCTATAATAAATAAAAAGGGCAATTTACCGTAGGATGGCCCTTAAAACACTCTGAAATATGTTAGGGTTTAGGGTTTAGGGTTTGGGGTTTGGGGTTTATGGTTTAGGGAATATGATCCTCTTTAACCCAATAAGGGACAATATGAAATGTCCCAAGGGCCTACCTAGCACCAAAGTACCAAACGTCACAGTGTGTTTGCCTCGTTTCAGGGCAGAACACGGGCTGCTCTAGGTACGTAAGTCCAAAAGGCAAAAGGTTTAAGGGGATGGAGCTTGCGGGTTCTAGGGATAGGTCTCGCTTACTCTTTTGGGAGTAGTGGGGGAGGATCAGGAAAGGCTCGCGCAGATGCCCAAGAGCACCGCAGGAATAACCCTAAACCCTAAACCCTAAACCCTAAACCCTAAACCCTAAACCCTAAACCCTAAACCCTAAACCCTTTTTGGCTTATAAGGAAATCTGAACCTTAAAAGAAGGAGAGAGGGCCTACTCTGGGTCCTAGTTCTATAACCCAGAGTGTAGTCTATTGTGGAATTAGGTACCCAAAAACCATACGAATTATGGCTTTTTGGGGAACCTATTCCAGAATGGCACTACCAATGGACCCTCTGGGTAACCTAGCCCTAAACCCTAAACCCTGAACGCATAACCTGGCACATGGTTTTCCCTCTCACTCAAGGGCCTGCTGCTGCGCTCTCTCGGCGTCCAGTTCCACGAGCAACTCCCGGCTTCTTACCTGGAGCTCCTGATCAGGTTTAGGGTTTAGGGCTTAGGGTTTAGGGTTGGGGTTTAGGGTGTAGGGTGTAGGTTTGGGTTTAGGGGCTTCATGGGTTTATAGGAATTGGGTTTGGGGATCAGGAACAAAGGACTTGTGACTCACAGTCTGGGTGGTGCCCTCAACTCAACCCAGAAACGTCTGGCGCTTTTGGTTCAGGGTCCCAGACATGGATTGAAGTGGCCCCCTTTCACAGGGTCACAGCATTCCAAAAAGGACCACCAACCTCTAAAGCCAAAAACCCTACACCCTAAACTCTGAACCCCAAACAAACCTAAACCATAAACGCTGAACCCTAAACCCTAAACCCTAAACCCTAAACCCTAAACCCTAAACCCTACACCTTCCCCCCCCAAAAAAAATCCCCGCCTGGGTCTGACTCTTGGCCACGGCCAGTTGGGAGCCGAGGTGCTCGCGCTTCGAGCTGGCAGCCTCCGTCGTAGGGTTTAGGGTTTAGGGTTTAGGGTTTAGGGTTTAGGGTTTAGGGTTTAGGGTTTAGGGTTTAGGGTTTAGGGTTTAGGGTTTAGGTTTAGGGTTTAGGGTTTAGGGTTTAGGGTTTAGGGTTTAGGGTTTAGGGTTTAGGGTTTAGGGTTTAGGGTTTAGGGTTTAGGGTTTAGGGTTTAGTAGTTTAGGGTGTATTTCGGGCTTACGGGAGGTTCGATGGCTGATAGGGTTTATAGGAATTGTGGGGGTTATACGTTGGATTGATAGGGGGGGTATAAGGTACCTCATTCTCTATTTAGGACTAGTTCCTGAGAGTCGCCCTATACCGTAAGCCCTAAACGCAAATGGTTCATGGAACTGGTACTTTGCAATGGTACTTGCAGCGACGCCCATATAGCCAATATAGTCCGTGCTATATGCAATGCAATGGAGCTTGCTTGCTCGGGGTCCAATGGGTTCAAGACTGATAAGGGTACCTCCCAAAATAGGGAAATATTGCAATCCTACTCTAGGAACCCCCCACGGACCCCCCGAAGGGATACCCCCCCTTATTGGGAAACGCTCAGAGCAAGACTATAGCCATAAACCATGCAGGGCACACCTCGGCTTCAATCCACGCCGTCGCTGCTTGTCCCTGCTCCTGACGAAGCATTCGCACCTCGGCTTGGACCTCGGCTGAGCGAGCCACGAAGCTGCGCGCTGCAACTTCTTCTGCCTCGGCCTGGGCCGCAGCCACAGCAGCAACCAACACTTGCTCCTCGCGCTTCTCGTGGGCAAGCGCCGCGGTCTCCCGCTGCACGGCCCATCGCGACGTCTCAGTTCGATGAGGGTTCACCTGCCTCAGAAACTGTTCTGCAGCGTCGTCTAAACCTGTGGCTTGCGCCTGCTCTTCCTGAATGCCTCGCAGCTGCATGGCCACTGACTCAAAGTCAACGTCCGATTCAGTGGCGGGAAGACTGGGCACCGAGGCTTGGGGAGAAGGATCTGGCCTTGGTAGCATTGGTAGCCCAGCAACCATAATTACTACAATAAGGGTACCCTTTTTGGGGTTTGGTTGCTGTGCAAGGGAACCGTGAGCCCAAAAAAAAACGGCCAAAAAGGGTACCACTTGGCTACCAAGTGGCTGCCTCTTGCGTGGAGCTCGCGGCCCATCGCCTCGTGGCTCGCGCGTTGTGCTTTGGGAAAAGCTCTCGTCGTGAAGTTCCACTTCGAACTTGTTGGCTGCTTCTGGGACTTGTGGCAACCTAGACCCGGGAGGAACCTAGGAATAAAAAGGGTACCCTTTTTGGTTTTAAGGGGATGATACGGGAACCCCAACCTAAAAAAAGGAAAAAAGGGCCTACTCCCGGTCCTAGCAGCTCTTCCCGAAAGGTGGGCAGCTCTTTGGCTGCTTCCTCCAGGGAGATCCCGCGGGCATCGAAGCTGCTTGCTGCTGCTTCTGCTGCCTCAACTTTGGCGGGAAGTGAAGCCTCCTGCTGCTTCTCATGCTGCTCATGCTGTCCCTCATCACGCCCGAGGCTTGGGAGCTTATTGTCATGCTCGCTTTCAGCCACGTGCTCCCCTTTCTCCTCACCTCGCCTCTGCTGGTCCCAGGTGCCTTCGTCGGTGCGCGCTCGCGGAGAGCGTCCTCCTGTCGCAAGGATACCCCGAAGGGAGGCACTGCGAGCCCCCAGTCCGGGTCCACGAACACCAGCTGCTGGCGGTGCTGGCGGTGCTGGCGGTGCTGGCGGTGCTGGCGCATCTGACGCAGCTGGCGCAGATTCCTCCAGGCGCTCACATGCAGGTACTGCATGTGCTTCACATGCAGGTACTGCGTGTGCTCACCCCTGACATGTGAAACCCCTACCGAAAACTCGCCTGACGCTCAGATGTGATTAGCGAACTGCAGTTGAGGGTCCAGGTGTCACGAAAACAGCCCTATATACGATACAGGATCTCAGAAGAAATGACCAACAAAGGGTCGTCTCCGGGTGGTTTAGGGTAAGGGTTTAGTGGGTAGTGCGTTGTGGGTATAGTGAGTTGAGAGTTTAGGATTTCCAATATTTGTCAAAATCAAGCGCTGCCCAACATGTCCATTCTTATGAGATGGTGCCCCTCAAGCATCCGATCTTGCTGAAGCCGGCTATCGGCATTCCACGCTTACGTAAATGCTTTCGAGGGCTTGCTGCAACGAATTCTTGATACTTTTGAGATTGACACTTGGACATAATCAGGTCAGTGTACAAACCATTCTCGCTTTGCTTTCAATGAACCAACTCAGTCCGCTTTGCAAGTTCTAGTCCAGTAGGCCCCTCTCATGCTTGGACCCGTCGGCACGCCTTAAACCCTAAACCCTAAACCCTAAACCCTAAACCCTAAACCCTAAACCCTAAACCCTAAACCCTAAACCCTAAACCCTAAACCCTAAACCCTAAACCCTAAACCCTACACCCTCACCCTAAACCCTAAACCCTAAACCCTAAACCCTAAACCCTAAACCCTAAACCCTAAACCCTAAACCCTAAACCCGAACTATAAGCCCTTCACCCACCCCCGGCTTCCCAGCGAAACTGCGTCCTCCGCCACGTCCCGGCGTTCGGCGCGAGTCATCTTCGGGGTGTTCGGCTTGGAGCTGCTTGCACTTGGGCTGGAGTCCTTGCGCCTGGGCTTAGTAGGATTTAGGGTGGGTTTAGGGTTTGAGTAGGGTTTAGGGTTTAGGGTTTAGGGTTTAGGGTTTAGGGTTTAGGGTTTAGGGTTTAGGGTTTAGGGCTTAAGGGATTAAGGGCTTTAGGGTTGTGATTTAAGGAATGAGGCAACCTCTCATTGTATCTCCCTACATGGTCGCTTCTCTAAATTCTGGCCCCGTCAGGGCCTTACCATTCTAAGGCGGTCCATAATATTAATAAAGGGTACACAAAGAAATGACCAACATTGTAAGAGCTGACCATAAAATCTTAATGTCTGTTAAGGGGTATGCCCAAGGGGTATGTTGAATATGTAAACCCTATAAACCCTAAACCCCTAAACCCTAAACCCTAAGCACTAAACCCTAAACCCTAAACCCTAAACCCTAAACCCAGCTACCCTTCCAGGGATTGTTAAAGATCTCTCGAGGCGCTTCTGGGGCGATCGGGATGGGCTTGTGCTCGGCGAGCGTGGTGCTATGGGCTGCGCTACACAGCACAGCCTCCGCGGTGCCTGGAGATTGTATGGGGCCCTAAACCCTACTACTACTACTACTACTACTACTACTACTACTACTACTACTACTACTACTACTACTACTACTACTACTACTACTACTACTACTACTACTACTACTACTACTGCAGCTACTACTACTACTACTACTACGACGACGACGACGACGACGACGACTACTACTACTACTACTACTACTACTACTACTACTACTACTACAGGGGTTTAGGGCCTTAAGAATTAGACTAGGTTGTATAAGTACAAAGGGACCATGAGGGAATGCTATCAGTAATTTTTCCGAACCCTATACCCTAAACCCCGAAGACGATCGTATGAAAATGCAGCTGAGAGGACTTTACGTGTGCATGTCTGTGCAAATTCAACAAAACACAGACGAACATAAATATACACCTATATATCAATCTCGTTGTAGACATCGAACCCCTCAACAAACCGTCACCGAAAACAACACAACGCATATATTTTATAAGGATTACGCAGGTGCCCCAGAGAGAGCTGTTGGACAAGCACGTTCACCCTGTCCCTCTTGGGCCCCGACATGGGGTTGATCCATTTGTTCCCCCTTTTTGGTACCAAAAAAACAAAGAGGGAAAACAGGAATAATACTGGCTCCTTATAGAGAGACCCCCTCAGAAGGGGCCATCATGTAGAAAAGTCGCTGCTGGCTCATCTGTCGCTGAGGACGATGGGACATGCAAGCATGTGATTTTAAAAGCAATGAGTGTGAGAGAGAGAAAGAGATTGGTCCTTCTGGGGTCCTTCTTTTAAGGGTGCCCCACACCCCCGAAAGGCGCAAAAGGAATTTAGAGAACTACCCTAAACCCTAAACCCTAAACCCTAAACCCTAAACCCTAAACCCTAAACCCTAAACCCAGGCCCCTCCGCACGCGCCTGGTCGGAAGCCGCCCGCTGCTCTGGCCGACGGCTCTGGGGCAGGCCAGGGGCTGGCTTCCTGGGGATGGCCCTGCTACAGCCCTGCAACAAAAAGGCAGGGTTTAGGGTTTAGGCTTTAGGGTTTAGGGTTTAGGGTTTAGGGTTTAGGAAAATCGGAAATATTTTTCCTTTGGTTTTTGAGGGGGGGGGGGGGGCTTTGAGCAAAAAGTAGTTAAACACCTGGTAAATGTTCCAAAGTATACTCCTCTAAAACCCAGTAAGGGAAACGTGATTTAAAAAAGTCCCAAAAGGCCTCTTAGACCCAACAAGGGAAAACGATCAAAACCCCTAAACCCTAAACCCTAAACCCTAAGCCCTAAACCCTAAACCCTAAACCCTAAGCCCTAAACCCTAAACCCTAAACCCGAAACCAAAACCAAAAACAAGGGCCAAGTGTCTGAATGGTCACAATGCTGGGCTCTGTTACTTGGACCTCCTCGACTGCCACGGGAACCGTAGACTTCCGCTGCCCCTCGCTTATGGCGTCCCCCTCGTCTTGCGGCTCCGCGCTGGGCTCGTTGGCTGCTTCTGGCATCTCTGCCCGAAAGGTCGGCAGCTCTTTGGCCGCTGGCTCCGGGGAGACCCCGCGGGCATCGAAGCTGCTTGCTGCTGCTGCTTCTGCTGCCTCAACTTTGGCGGGGAGTGAAGCCTCCTGCTGCTTCTCACGTGCCTCATGCTGTGCCTCGTCATTTGCGAGGCTTGGGAGCTTGCTGTCATGCTCGCTTTCAGCCACGTGCTCCCCGAATTCCTCACCTTGCCCCTGCGGGTCCCAACCTATCGTTTCCATGACTCCGGCGGTAGCTTCTTCTGGAGTTGCCTGCCCCACGGCGCCCATGCCAGAAAGAGACACCTTGTTCGGTGTCTGTTCTTGAGACACCTATACTCCCCTATAGAACCTTAACAAGAATACTATATTTAGTACGTATCCTCTTGGGTTTTATAAAAACAAAAATGAGAAAAAAAAAAAAAAAAAAAAAAAAAAAAAAAAAAAAAAAAAAAAAAAAAAAAAAAAAAAAAAAAAAAAAAAAAAAAAAAAAAAACAAAAAAAAAACAATTGCCAAGGGGGATATAGACACCTGCATCGGAAGATTGCCCTGTTGGACGGAAGCCTGTGAAAGCTCCTGGCGAGCAGGACGGATCGCAGGGGGGGACACCGGGTAGTACTTTAAAGAATACGGGGCACCCCTTATACACCCACAAAAAAAAAAGGGTCCTTGTTCAAGGAGCCACCAAGAAGGGTAGCCCTATTTTGGGGAACCCCCCCCCAAATGGGTGGTTCTGTCGAGTATGAATGGTCTGAAAGGTTTTGTGGCACACTTTCGATAGAAGCAGCCCTGCGGCTACCCGTACTTCGAGACTTACCTAACAACCCCAACGCCCTATACTACCACGGGAGCTACACTGAACATCCTACAAGCGGGTTCAGGGTTTAAGCTATGCCTGGACTATTCTGGGGTGACCCTGCACCTCTATAAACCCTACACCCTCAACCCTAAACCCTAAACCCGAAACCAGAAACGGGAGGTCGGAGGCTGCTCCCTCCTTGCTCAGCTCACGTTGTGATCTGGGCCCTGGCGAAGCCCTTTTTCAAGACTTCTTTTGTAACCGCTGCTTCAAACCCTGTAAGGCCCCAGAAACCCTGTGAAGCCTACAAAGCCTGTAAGGCCGTAAACCCAACACCCCGCAACCTCCATAAACCAAGAAAAAACTACAACCCACCTGTACGCCCCTGGGGGCAGGAGTAGGCCAATATTATCGATTTTCCAGCACCGTGGTGATTGGGTACCATGAACCTCCAAGTACCCCCCCCCCCCACCCCCCAAGCCCTAAACCCAAAGCCCTATAAACCTCGCAGTTATTTTGGGCTAGTCAGCACTATGAACTTCCTACCGCAAGACCTGCCTGTAACTCCCATACCCTACAAAATAGCATATAGGGTCTATCCCCCTAACTATAGGGCATAACCCCAGATCACAGTAGAGTTTGAGGGTCAACCCTAAACACTAAACACTAAACCCTAAACCCTAAACCCTAAACCCTAAACCCTGAACCCTAAACCCTAAACCCTAAACCCAAACCCGGCTACCAGTTTTTCCTGGCCGCTGGCCTCGACCTCGCATGCGATCCTTCCCGCGTCCTCTCGTTCGCGCCGGCTCTGGGCGGCCTGAGGGTTCAGGGTTCAGGGTGTATGGGGTTGGGGTTTAGGGTTTAGGGTTTAGGGTTTAGGGTTTAGGGTTTAGGGTTTAGGGTTTAGGGTTTAGGGTTTAGGGTTTAGGGTTTAGGGTTTAGGGTTGAGGGTTGAGGGTTGAGGGTTGAGGGTTGAGGGTTGAGGGTTGAGGGTTGAGGGTTGAGGATTGAGGGTTGAGGGTTGAGGGTTGAGGGTTTAGGGTTTAGGGTTTAGGGTTGAAGCCATTTTTGACTCAATAAGGACGGTTAGTAAGGTGACTTTAGTAGGGTCAGGCATGTCTGCCTAAGCACATTCAGGAACCTACAGGTAATTTGTAGTGCAGCTTGACATAGTCGTGAACAAACAGTTTTCGGTTTAGGGTTTGGGGCTTCGGGTTAGGGTCCAGGGTGCAGGATTGAGGGTTTAGGGTCCTGAAATAGGCACTTTCGCCCCGCTGGGTGGCCTTGGGCTCTCCAGTGTGTGCGTGTAGGCCCAGAACCGTCTCTTCTGGGAACGGCGTTGAAAGCCCTGTTGCGAAGAACCAGCCAGAGAACCCCAACTCCCACTATGCCTAAACCCTACACCCCGAAGCCAGAACCCTAAACCCTAAACCCTAAACCCTAAACCCTACACCCTACACCCTACACCCTACACCCCAAAGCCAGAACCCTAAACCCTGAACCCTAGACACACATCCTTGGGGTTCAAGTTGTATATACATGTACCCAAAGGATAGGTTTAGGAGGGGTTTACGGTTTGGGCTTGCCTGGCCTGCCATATAGGTAGCTCTCTAGATTCAAACCCCCTTTTCGGGGCCTATAGTACGGCACAATTACAAGAAGGACCCCAAAAGAAACCAGAATTGAGAGAACCCTAAACCCTAAACCCTAAACCCTAAACCCTAAACCCTAAGCCCTAAGCCCTAAGCCCTAAACCCTAAACCCTAAACCCTAAACCCAAGCTCCCACCCACCCCCTGAGCCTGCCCCTCTGCCAGTTGCAGGGCTTGCAGCAGGCGCTGGCGCTCAGCCACAGCCACCTCCCGAGACGGCGCGCCGCTTTCGGGAGCTTTAGGGTTTAGGGTTTAGGGTTTAGGGTGTAGGGTGTAGGGTGTAGGGTGTAGGGTTAAGGGTTAAGGGTTTCGGGTTTGGGGTTTTAAAGGTTTAGGGCTTTTAGGGTTTATAGGGTTTAGGGTTTTCAAGGGTTGATAGGGTTTATGGGGTTTATAGTGTTTATAGGGTTTATAGGGTTTAGGGTTTAGGGGATTTCCGGGCTGCAGGGTTCATAGGGTTTAATTACAGGATTATAGGGTTTATGGGCTTTGTTGGGGTTTATGGAGTTTATAGGGTTCACAGGGTTCATAGGGCTTATAGAGTTTATTGGGTTTACAGGATTATGGGGTTTGCGGTGTTAATAGGGTTTGGCTTTACAAAAGGGCGTGCGGTTTGTGGAGTTTCTATACGGGAGTTCTTACAAGATTGAAACGTAGGGCTTAGGGTTTTACACATGGGTTCATGATTTGAAAGCTTCTGTACCGGAGTTTTTAAGAGATTGAGATACCTCAAATTCCTGTTATGTTGCAATGGTCCCGACGATCCCTTAGGCCGGTATCTGGTTTTGGTGCAGTTTTCACAAGGGAACCCATACCCCAAAACGGGCAAAGAGGTACCACTCACCTACCAAGACTATATGATGTGGGGTTTATATTCCTTGTATCCCCAACAGGACACCCAATACATACACTCACCAATATTAAAAAGGAACATTATAAACACTCACCAATGACAGTACTATCCCTAAACCCTAAGCCCTAAGCCCTAAACCGCCTAAACCCTAAACCCTAAACCCTAAACCCTAAACTAAACAGCAATATAAGCCCTGCTTCATGTGGGCTTCATCCCCGGGCCTGGTTGGCCCTGTCCGCCGCCTCCCGGCAGCGTGAGAGCTCATCCACCAGGAGAAGGCGCTGTCTCTGGAGCTCCTCCATAGGGCACCCATGTCTGGGTTTAGGGTTTAGGGTTTAGGGTTTAGGGTTTAGGGTTTAGGGTTTAGGGTTTAGGGTTTAGGGTTTAGGGTTCAGGGTTTAGGGGTTTAAGGCTTAGGGTTTAGGGTTTTTGGAACAACAAACCCCAAAAGACTTGCGCCCGAGCTCCTGAGAGCAATGCAGTGTTGTTTCAGGTTCTTTTGAGGTGGTGTCCGGCAGGGCTTGCTTACAGCACGCCCTCAGCTCCCCCTCAACCACACTTATCCCAGCTTCAGAACTCGGCATTTTTGATTCGTGCTGGTGGCCAAAGAGTCTTAAACCCTAAACCCTAAACCCGTAGCCCTTAACCCTAAACCCTCAACACTTGCTAGGGCTGAATACCCTGGCCCCCAAAAGCGACTGAATACCCTAGCCCAAAAAACGATGAACCTCTTGTACAGTAGGGTTCGATACAACAAAAAAGGTGAAGCGTTACCCACCCAGTCCCTAAGATTAAAGCCCTAACTAGTAGTAGTCCTAAACCCTAAAGTTTTAAACCCCAAACCCCAAACCCCAAACCCCAAACCCCAAACCCTAAACCCTAAACCCCCCTAAGATATCGGAATGGCTTTCACTCTTGGGGACCCCCTCCTGGCCTCCTGCTCCTCCTGCATCTGGCGCCAGGAGCGGGCAAAGTTGCTCCGCTGCTCCTGGAGCTCGCTCCGCAACTCCTTCTTCGGGGATTTAGGGGGTTTAGGGGCTTCGGGCTTAGGGTTTTAAGGGCTTAGGGGTTTAGGGTTTAGGGGTTTAGGGGTTTAGGGGTTTAGGGGTTTAGGGGTTTAGGGGTTTCGGGGTTTAGGGGTTTAGGGGTTTAAAGGTTTAGGGGTTAGGGGTTTAAGGCTTTGCAGAGGGTTTAGGGCTTAGGGGGTTTGGGGGTTTGGGGGGTTGGGGGTCTGGGGGTTTGGGGGGTTTGGGGGGTTAGGGGGGGGGCGGGTTGGGGGGGAATACGGGGGTTAGGGGTTAGGGATTAGGGGAGGTAGGGGGGGTTTGGGCGGGTTTGGTGAGGTTTGGGGGCGTTTGGGACAGGAACCTAGGAACAACAATGGGTGCCCTGTTTCGTCAAAAGGGCTCCCAACCCTAGAATAACGGGCATGCCCAAGTACACCCTATAAGCCCTAACCCTGCTCAAAGCCCACACTCCGAGCCCAAACCATCAACAAGCCCAAATCCTTCAAACCGGAAAATCAAACCTCCGCTCCAAAACCCCAAAACCCAAAACCACAAAATCTCAACCCCTAACCCCGGACAAACCCCAAAACCCAAACCCCAACACCCTCCCATCCCGAAACCCCACCTAAACCCTAAACCCTCCACCCCCAGGACCCCCAAAACCCCCAAACCCTCAACCCCAAAACGCCACCTAACCCTAAACCCTAAACCCTAAACCCTAAACCCTAAACCCTAAACCCCCCAAACCCCCCAAACCCCCCAAACCCTCAAAACCCTGATGCCTCGCACTCCTGGAGTTGCCCCCAGTTCTGGGAGAAGCCTTCCGCGGGGCCTTTTGCGGCTTCTTTGACTTCGGGAAGGGGCTTAGGGTTTAGGGTCTAGGGGTTTAGGGGTTTAGGGGTTTAGGGGTTTAGGGGTTTAGGGGTTTTGGGGTTTTGGGGTTTTGGGGTTTGGGGGTTTAGGGCTTAGGGGTTTGGGGTTTTAGGGGGTTTGTTTTCTTGGGGGAAGGGGGTGGGGGAAGCCCAACCCCGATTGTTGCGGACCCTTCTGAACCCTAAACCTTAAACCCTAAACCCTAAACCCGAAACCCTACTGTCGGATGCCCATTGCAGGGTCTGCAAGTTTCGGGGCGCTTTAGGGACCATAGGGTGCAGGGAGTTTAGGGCTTCGGCTTACGGTTGGGGCTGTAACTAGGGGTTTGGGGTTTAGGGTTTAGGTACCTATAGACTTGGGCTCTAAAGCTTGTTTATGGGAACCCCTTTAAGGCCCCAAGTGTATACTACAAAGGTACATGGACCCTTGGGGAGGGTTTGGGGGTTTGGGCGTTTATGGCTGACTACCCGTCGCATCGTGCAGATAACGCGAGCATTTGGGCACCAACGTCGCAGACACCCCTCGTCTGCCTTGAATCTAAGAAACATGCCGTCTCTTTACAGGGATCGAGGCTTCCCCATCCTTATTGCATGCTCATGTTACTTCCTGTCGTCATTGCAGGTGCATAAGGAGCCTGACACATACATCCCGAACCTGCGCATCCCTTGTGCAACTCGTAGTGCACAAAGTACCCATCGATAGCCAGACACTCGAAACAGCCCCCTAAAGACGCTAATTAGGGTCTAGGTTGTAGGGTTAAGGGCTTAGAGTTTTTGGGCTCAACTGAGCCATGGTTTTTATTTGATGGTGTTTTTTAATGGAAATTTATTTCCTTCCGCGGAACCCTTCCGCGGACCTTCCGCGCCTCGAAAGGTAGCTTCCGCGGGGCATGTTTTTGGAGCTTCCTTCCGCGGACCCTTCCGCGGAGCCATTTTCGCCTGAATTCGTACAGTTCCTTCCGCGTAGTACGTTTATAGTCTTAGGCACGTGTCCCATGAAGTTCCGGAACGACTGTCGATGTTGAAACCGAAGCACATGGTGTAGGTTAGTCTGTGGCCCCACACCACGTAGAAGAAATGACAGAACCGCACATGAAAACAATGAAATCTGTAAACGACACAGGTGTGCAGGGTTCGTCGTTTTGCTGCTGTTGAACGGAGAACTACATCGTCAAATCGAAGATGGTGTTTCACAAGCAAGGCTACACGAATGGAGCCCATCCTTCCGCGGAGCTTCCGCGAACCTTCCGCGGAGCTTCGGATTTCCCGCACCCGCCTCGCGATAGACGAGGTTTGCGGGGCTGCTGGGTAGGTGGTTGTTACTTGGTTCGTGGTACTTTTAGAGCGTCGTCCACAAGCCTAAACCTTAAATCGGCCAGGCGCCAGGGACCGATGCTCAGCGGCTGTTTGGGGTTGAAAGGTTCATAGGTTATGCTTAAGACGGAGCTTCCGCGAGAAGATGCTTCCGCCAAACCTTCCGCGTGCTTCCGCGGCCACAGCGCGGAGCTCATTCTGAGCACAAACCCAAAATATATTTCCGTACTAAAGTAACTTTCAAGAAGCGCCTAAAAAAACCGCAGCTCAACTGGACCCAGGATTAATCTAGGAATAAAAATGGGTGCCCTTTTTGGTTGAAAGCGGTGTGTAAGGGAATCCAAACCCTAATCAAAGGGGAATAAGGGCCTGCTCCGGGTCCTAGCCCTAAACCCTAAACCCTAAACCCTAAACCCTAAACCCTATATAAACCCTAAACCCTAAACCCTAAACCCTAAACCCTAAACCCTAAACCCTAAACCCTAATTAAAGTGCACGTCCCTACTACCTTTCCACGATGAATCCCGGAATTTGCAAGGAAGCGGCCCTCTGAGGTTTGCAGCAGTCTCTCCAGCTCCTTCCAAAAGCGCGCAGGGTTAGGGTTTAGGGTTTAGGGTTTAGGGTTTAGGGTTTAGGGTTTAGGGTTTAGGGTTTAGGGTTTAGGGTTTAGGGTTTAGGGTTTAGGGTTTAGGGCTTAGGGTTTAGGGTTTAGGGTTTAGGGTTTAGGGCTTAGGGTTTAGGGTTTAGGGTTTAGGGTTTAGGGTTTAGGGCTTAGGGCTAAGGGTTTGCAGTATGGCTTCAGGGCCCCAGGGTTGCTTCGGGTGGTTCAGCAGAAGTCGAATCGGCTTCAGGGTAGAGGTTCCCCATCAATTAGGGTTTAGGGTTTAGGGTTTAGGGTTTAGGGTTTAGGGTTTAGGGTTTAGGGTTTAGGGTTTAGGGTTTAGGGTTTAGGGTTTAGGGTTTAGGGTTTAGGGTAAAAAAAAAGGGGATAGCCTGGACTCAGCAGGTTTCTGAAGGATCTGTAGAAGAGGAGGAGAAGGATACTACAGAGGTCGTCCAAGGGGCGTCTGCGGTTCAGCACTTCAAGGGCCTCACCTAGATGCCCTGAATACCCTAAACCCTAAACCCTAAACCCTAAACCCTAAACCCTACACCCTAAACCCTAAACCCTAAACCCTAAACCCCAGATTTCTAGATCCTTGCTCTGAATCTACAACCCTAGGCTGAACATGCCCTGAACCTATCGACTAGGTACCTTAAGGGTCCATGTGCCCGTATAGTATCTATTTGGGCCTCAACTCTACTATAAGTATTACTACACAGGTACAGCCCTAAACCCTAAACCCTAAACCCAAAACCCTAAATCCTAAACCCTAAACCCTAAACCCTAAACCCCTAAACCCCTCAACCCTGAACCCTGAACCCTGAACCCTGAACCCTAAACCCTAAACCTACCTGAAACCTTAGGGGTACAGCGGGTACTTACTTTGTCTGCTGACAGCTCCTGCGTGTCGTCGAGGAGGGGCGCCGCCTCATGGGAGGCCTCACGGCCGCGGTTTAGGGTTTAGGGTTTAGCGTTTAGGGTTCAGGGTTTAGGGCTTAGGCTTTAGGGTTTAGGGTTTAGGGTCTAGGATCAAGGGACTAAAGGAGGGACCCTTATAAGGGACCTTAGGGGTTATTCAGGGGTTATATGGTGGGGGGGGGGTTCTTAGGTATATAGGCACTATACAAGGTGTGTGTATATATATATGTGTATATATATAAGTTGTATATATGGGTTATATGGCTTATACAGGTGATCATTTTTTGAGGGTTTAAGGGTATACGCAGAGGGCATACCTCTTCATTAAGAATATACTTCAATTCATATAGGGATCAAACATATTGATTTAATAGGTATATTCCTCAATTCAGGGTAAAGGGCTCCTTGGGCAGAACTCTTCTTTCTAAACCCTAAACCCTCAACTTAAACCCTAAACCCTAAACCCCAGACCCCAAACCCCAAACCCTAAACCCTAAACCCTAAACCCTAAACCCCCCTCAGAGCCAGGGTTGGTGCCTCCCTCCTGCCCTAAGCCCTAAACCCTAAACCCTAAACCCTAAAACCCCCTAAACCCCAAGGTGGCGCCTCCCTCCAGGGCTGCGGGGGTAAGGTCTCCATCGACCCGGCCGCCGCGGTCTTCGCGGTACCGGCCCAGGCCAGGAGGATGAGGCGGACTGGGCGCAAGGTCATAGGGTTCATAGGGTTTAGTGTTCATGGGGTTTAATGGGGTTTAGGGTTTAGGGCGTTTAGGGTTTAGGGTTTAGGGCTTCGAGTTTAGGGCATAGGTCATAGGGCTTAGGGTTTGCAGGGTTTGCAAGGTTTATAGGTCTTATAGGGTGTCTGGGGTGTACAGGGTTCTTTGGGCTTATAGGGTATATAGGGCTTATGGTTTTTTTTTAGGGTTTACAGGCTTAGAGGGTTCATAGGTTCACAGGGCTTAGAGGGCTTGTAGGGTTTGTAGGGCTTTTTGGACCAATGTTCGCGCAACGCAAATCTTCGCAATGGGACTACGTTGGATGGGCGGTTTGGCATCATGGCTCAGCAGGTGTTCCACAGCTGTGCGGATGCAACATTCATTGATCAGCACAAATTGCCCCCTAAACCCTAAACCCTACAACCTAAACCCTAAACCCTCAACCCTCAACCCTAAACCCCAAACCCTAGCTGTACACAATGACCTCAATGCATGCGGCCAATCGGTGCAAGGGTGCGTTTT